GCATTTAAGTGTAGGTTCCCGAAAAGACTCTACCCCGTTTTTCCACCTTGCTGCTAAGAAAGGAAGGTATGCAAAAACATTGCAGTTTGCAGCTCAACCTGGCTTGGGAGCCTCCATTTTGTGTGTGTGACTTTGACTGTAGATCTCCAACGCATCTGTCCTTTGGTTTGTCTTGCAGGCAAGGGCCATGACGGACGAGGAGCCCCATGAAAGCTACCTTTTTGGGGGTGCCTTTTCGGCTCGCCTTCCTCCTGGAAGTCTGGATATCAGGTGAGTTGGATTCGTTCCCTGACCAGCATCTCCCCAGATGTGGTCATTCCGGCTTTCCCACCAGCTTCTTGGCTTCCCAACGCAACTTGTGGGTCAAACAAAAGACTATTAGAAGTTCTGGTTTGGAAATAACCAGTCCAGTTCTTTGCATTGATTGATTGCAAGTATTCAGTATGTCTAATGCAGGGGTGAAATGCTCCCGGTTCAGACCGGATCGCCCGATCCGGTAGCGATGGAGGCGGGTGGTTCGGAGAACCGGTAGCAAAAATCCCTGCCCCCTCCCCACATTCCCTAGCAATCATCAGAGGCTTTTTAAAAAAAATTTAAAAGCATTTTTTCTACAACCTCTTTGGCCGAAAAAATGCTTTTAAAAATAAAAGAAAAAGCCTCTGATGATCGCGCGGCTCAGCTGGGATCACTGGAGGCTTTTAGAAGCATTTCTTCTACAACCTCTTCCACCGAAGAGGTTATAGATGAAATGTTTTTAAAAGGAAAAAAAGCCTCTGCCGATCAGGCAAGCCAGCTGGGATCGTCAGAGGCTTTTAAAAGCATTTTTTCTACAACCTCTTTGGCCGAAAAATGCTTTTAAAAATAATTTTAAAAAGCCTCTGATGATCGCACGGCTCAGCTGGGATCATTGGAGGCTTTTAGAAGCATTTTTTCTACAACCTCTTCGACCGAAGAGGTTATAGAAAAAATGTTTTTAAAAGGGAAAAAAGCCTCTGCCGATCAGGCAAGCCAGCTGGGATCATCAGAGGCTTTTAAAAGCATTTTTTTACAACCTCTTCAGCCGAAGAGGTTGCAGAAAAAATGGTTTTAAAAGTAAAAAAAAAAAAAAGGTTGGCCACGCCCACTCAGTCATATTACCCCCACCCCCACCAAGCCACGCCCACAGAACCGGTAGTAACAAATTTTACATTTCACCACTGGTCTAATGACAAGTCTAATGAAAAGAAAGATTAGGGGAGACGTGATAGCAATGATCCAATGTTTGAGGGGCTGCCACATGGAAGACGGGGTCACCCTATTCTGCAAAGTCTCAGTGGAACAACTTGCCTCCAGAAGTTGTGGGTGCTCCAACACAGGAGGTTTTATAAAGAAGAGATTGGATAACCATTTGTCTGAAATGGTATAGGGCCATAATGGCGAATCTATGCCATGCATGCTACAGGTAGAATGTAGAGCCCTCTCTACAGGCACGCGAGCCGTTGCCCCAGCTCAGCTCCACCGTGCATCCGCACGTGCCTCCTGCTGGCCAGCTGATTTTTGGGTCTCTGCCATGCATGTGTGGGGGGACAGGGCGCCTATGGGAGATGTGCACGCATGTGTAGGAGGCTGGGGGGTTGCACACACATACACGGCAGTGGTGGGTTCCTCCCGGTTCGGCCCGGTTCTCCCGAGCCGGTAGTAGTGACGATATGACGTCACCGAACTGGTTCTGCTCCCCTTGTCCCCCCCCCCGCGCTCCCCCCCGCATTCTTACCTTTTATTTGACTCCACCCCCAATCTATTGCTGCCTCCTGAGTCCCAGCTGATGGCTAGAGGGAAAAAAACTGTTTAAACTCTTGCCGTGGGGCTTCAAAGGGCCGCCCTACAGCTGATCAGTGTTAAAAGAAAACAAATGGGTAGACCAGTGCCTGCAAAAATACATGAGTAGATCAGTGCCTGCAAAAATAAATGGGTAGACCAGTGCCTGCAAAAATACATGAGTAGATAGTGCCTGCCAAAAATAAATGGGTAGACCAGTGCCTGCAAAAATACATGAGTAGATTAGTGCCTGCAAAAATACATGAGTAGACCAGTGCCTGCAAAAATAAATGGGTAGACCAGTGCCGACCGGTGCCTGCAAAAATACATGAGTAGATCAGTGCCTGGAAAAAATAAATGGGTAGATCGGTACAGCTCTGCAAGCAGTTAAAAGCCTGGTAGACCAGTACCTCTGCTAAATCCTAAAGAATTGTCACATGACCATCAAGCCACGCCCACAAAATAAGCCACGCCCACAGAACCGGTAGTAAAAAATATTAGAACCCACCCCTGATGCATGGGGGTGGGTGGAGCATGGGGGGGGTCACACGTGCATGTGCGGGGGGTGGAGGGAGTGTGTGGGAGTTGCGCCAGAGATGGGTTTCAGCAGGTTCTGACCAGTTCTGGAAAACCAGTAGCGGAAATTTTGAGTAGTTCGGAGAACCGGTAAATGCCACTTCTGACTGGCCCCGCCCCCATCTATTCTCTGCCTCCCGAGTTCCAGCTGATCAGGAGGGAATGGGATTTTGCAGTAACCTTCCCCTGGAGTGGGGTGGGAATGGAGATCTTACAGTATCCTTCCCCTGCCACGCCCGCAAGCCAAGTCACGCCCGCCAAGCCAAACCACGCCCGCCAAACCACACCCACAGAACCGGTAGTAAAAAAATTTAGAACCCACCCCTGATGCACGGGGGTGGGTGGAGCGTGGGGGGTCACACGTGCATGTGCGGGGGGTGGAGGGAGCATGGGGGAGTTGCACCAGAGGTGGGTTTCAGCAGGTTCTGACCAGTTCTGGAAAACCGGTAGCGGAAATTTTGAGTAGTTCGGAGAACCGGTAAGTGCCACTTCTAGACTGGCCCCGCCCCCATCTATTCTCTGCCTCCCGAGTTCCAGCTGATCAGGAGGGAATGGGATTTTGCAGTAACCTTCCCCTGGAGTGGGGTGGGAATGGAGATCTTACAGTATCCTTCCCCTGCCACGCCCGCCAAGCCAAGTCACGCCCGCCAAGCCAAACCACGCCCGCCAAACCACACCCACAGAACCGGTAGTAAAAAAATTTGAAATCCACCACTGGGTCGCACGCACGTGCGGGGGGGTCGCACGTGCATTGCATTTCGGCATGCAATGACAAAAAGGTTAGCCATCACGGGTATAGGGTTTCCTGCCTAAGCAGGGAGTTGGACTAGAAGACCTCCAAGGTCCCTTCCAACTATTTTATTTATTTATTTATTTATTGAATTTCTATACCGCCCTACTCCCGAAGGACTCAGGGCGGTGTACAGCCATGAAATAAAACACATAAATATACAAAATTTAAAATCGAATAAAATAAATTAAATAAATTTGGCTGAATTTATATCCATAATTTAAAATACCCATAATTTTAAAATACAATTAAAAATTTAAAATTTTCATTTAAAAGGGAGAAAATTTAGGCGAGGCCCGCTTGATGAAATAAAAGCGTCTTCAACTCGCGGCGGAAGGTGCGCAGATCCGGGATCCTCCGTATCTCTGGGGGGAGCTCATTCCAGATCGTCGGTGCCCCCACAGAGAAGGCTCTCCCCCTAGGGGCTGACAGCCGACATTGTTTGGCCGACGGCACCTGGAGGAGCCCTTCTCTGTGGGAGCGTACTGGTAGGTGGGAGGCTGTTGGTGGTAATAGGCGGTCCCGTAGATAACCAGGTCCTAAGCCATGGAGTGCTTTAAAGGTGGTAACCAGAACCTTGAAGCGCACCCGGAAGACCACCGGGAGCCAGTGCAGCTCGCGCAGGAGAGGTGTTACATGGGAGCTCCATGTTGCTCCCATAACCACCCGCGCGGCGGCACTCTGCGCCAGTTGGAGCCTCCGGGTGCACCTCAAGGGGAGCCCCATGTAGAGAGCATTACAATAGTCCAGACGAGAGGTGACGAGGGCATGAGTGACTGTGCGTAACGAGTCCCAATCTAGAAAGGGACGTAACAACTCTCTTCTTCTATTCCAGTGATGGCTAATCTTTTTGCCGTTGCGTGCCAAAAGTGGGGGTGGCGCGGGGGGGGTCGCGCGCATGCGTGCCCACACCCAAAATTCAATGCGCCCTGCCTCTCGCATGCAACCCCCTCCTGCACTCCCCCGCTTTTGGCACATGATATCACGGTGGGCCTGGTAGGCCCTTTTTTCACCCTCCCCAGGCTCCAGAGGCTTTTCTGGAGCCTGGGGAGGGCAAAAACAACCTTCCCACCCTCCCCAGAGGCCCTCTGGAGGCCAGAAACAGTCCGTTTCCTGGCTTCCGGTGGACCCAGAAGGCCTGAAAATCAGGTGGCCGGCGCGCACAGGCGTGCTAGAGCTGAGCTAGTGCAATGCTCGCGTGCCCACAGATATGGCTCCATGTGCCACCTGTGGCACGTATGCCATAGGTTCGTCATCACGGTTCTATTCTATTCTAACTATGACCTGGATGACTGAGTATCTCCATTTAGAGAGGATGGCCTGCTTGTTGTGTCTTTAGAAAGTCCATGTCCTCACAAAAACGTAGTCACCGGCTGACCCTAACTTCTTCTCCCCGTCTCTCCCTTGCAGCGAAATGCGTCAGGTTCCTGACAACCAGGAAGCCTTCGTTCACCCCAGCACAGATCAGAGCGTCATCGTGGAGCTGCTGGAATACCAAGCAGGGGTGCCGGATGAAAACGCTGCCAGGTATGCGGTGCAAAATTGAACATTTCATTGCAGGGCAGATTGGTGCTGGAGTTTCAAGCGTGCAGGGAAAAAAAACGAGTTCCGGGACAAAATTACACAATTGGGGAAGCCAGATTTACTTAAGATCCGGGTTACTAACTTAACCCCTGCATTGATTCATTTAACAACGGCGGCAGGAAAGCTCGTAAAATGGGGTAAACTCAATTAACAGCGGTCTCGCTTAGCAACAGAAGATTTGGGCTCAGCCGTGGTCGTAAGTCGAGGACCAGTTGTATGTCATGTTATTTTTTTTTAAAAAATAAAATTTTAGTTGAGTATAAATATTAAAAAAGACATAACACAACATATACACAACAAACATTTATACAACATATAAACAAAAAGATTATGTTTCCTTCTTAAGCATTCTTTCCAAGTGACATTCTACTTATATTTCTTCACCTCTCCTTAATCTAATAACATTTTTTTTTAAATCGGTATTATTTCCCCCTATATTTTTTGTTTATTTCTCATTTTTAACCAATTATACCAATTATTCCATATTTTGTAATAATCTGAACCAAAGAAATACAAGAAAGAGAAGAATCAGCTGTACGTCATGTTAATTAGAGGCCATGAATTCAGAAATTAATGGACTTCCCTGCAAATTATTCTAGAAAGCAAATCTGTTTCCAAGGCTGGCTTATTTCCAAGATAAGCAATGAGCCTTGGTAGTACAGTGGTCTAAAGCACCCTGTTATGAAGACCAGCTGCCTGCAATTACTGCAGGTTCGAATCTCGCCAGGCTCAAGGTTGACTCAGCCTTCCATCCTTTCTAAGGTAGGTAAATTGAGGACCCAGTTTGTGGGGGCAATAAGCTGACTTTGTATAAATATACAAAAGGATGAAGGCTATTGCTTAGCGCATTGTAAGCCGCCCTGAGTCTCCGGAGAAGGGCGGCATATAAATCAAATTTTTAAAAAAAATTAAAAATTGTATTGTATTTATTGTACTGTACTGTACTGTATTAGTATTATTATTATTATTATTTAATTTGATTTATATGCCGCCCTTCTCCGGAGACTAGTATTTATTAGTATTAGTATTAGTATAGTAATAATTATAATAGTTATAAAAGGCCATGGTTCTCCCAGTTGCAATGTATGGCTGGGGAAAGTTGGACCATAAGGAAGGCTGAGGGCCAAAGAATGGAGGCCTTTGAACTCTGGTGCTGGAGAAGACTCCTGCGAGTCCCTTGGACTGCAAGGCGATCCAACCGGTCAGTCCTAGAGGAGATCAACCCTGACTGCTCTTTAGAAGGCCAGATCCTGAAGATGAAACTCAAATACTTTGGCCACCTAATGAGAAGGAAGGACTCACTGGAGAAGAGCCTAATGCTGGGAACGATTTGAGGGCAAAAGAACGGGACGGCAGAGAACGAGGTGGCCGGATGGAGTCACTAAAGCAGTCGGAGTGAGCTTAAATGGACTACAGAGGATGGTAGAGGACAGGAAGGCCTGGAGGAACGTTGTCCATGCGATCGTGATGGGTCAGACACGACTTTGCAACTAAGAAGAATCTAACTTACTTACATAGCAAAAGCCTAAAATGTTGGCTTTACTGGAGAAACCTGAAAATACAAGCAAGAGGACGTAATATTCAGAGGCTACCATTGTACTACAGGAGATCAGCTGCTGGAAGGTTTGGCATGGAAGGGGATGTAGCTCAGTGGTAGAGCGCATGCTTTGCATGTATGAGGTCCTGGGTTCGATCCCCAGCATCTCCACTTTTTACAACTCCCTCGTGCAGGGAGTGGGGGAAGAAATAACAAAATATGACAGCTAAGTGGCAGCACTTAGCTGGGTCTGGCTGATCTTTGGGAAGCCGTAGTCTTCGGGTTGGGCATGAATAGAATAAAATAAAAATAAAAATACTATCCTACCCAGGTATTCCTTGATTTACGACCACAAGTGAGCCCAGCGTTTCTGTTGTTAGGTGAGCTTTGTCCCATTTTACAACCTTTTTTGCTTCAGTTTGTTATTTATTTATTTATTTTATTTATTATTTTATTTTATTAGATTTATATCCCGCCCTTCTCCCTGAAGGGACTCAGGGTGGTGAACAGCCGAAAATTAAAATAACATGCAATATAAAAGTTTAGATAATTAAAAATAAATTAAATAAACGGCCTCCCAATTTAAAACCCCTAGCTATACAATTAAAAAACCCATAAAACCTATTCAGGCCAGGCCGGCTTGCTGAAATAAAAACGTCTTCAGGGCCTTACGGAAAGTGCGGAGATCCGGGATCAGCCGTATTCCGGGACGTAGCTTGTTCCAGAGGGCGGGTGCTCCCACAGAGAAGGCTCTCTTGTTAAGTGAATCACTACAATTGATAAGTGAACAACTGTGGCAAGGAAGGTCGTACGCACTTCACAAAGGTTAACTTAATTTAACATTTGTTAAGTGAGTTTATCTCCATGTCACGACAGGAGATTCATTGGTGGAAGGATGAATGAGAGATGTCCACCCATCATCATCTTTTTTTTTAACCATCCTGTCCCGCCAGGTACCATTTTGAAGACATTGCAGACAGCGCGGCCAATTCGGAGATTTTGAGCCAAGGACAGTTTGCGCCCGGTCTTCTGGCATTTGAAGGCTGCAGCAGCGCCTGGCAACTCACTGGCCGCCAGGAGGTCGCTAAATTCAACGAGGAGGTGGGTGGCGAGGTTACCTATTTCCGAAGTGTGCCCTGCCAGTTGGTTGGCCTTGGTCCGAACATTTTTCTGCAACGAGGGTGGTTCTGCAGGTTGAACCACCTGGGGAGGAAAAAGGGGCATATAATACACACACACACATAAACGCACAGTCCTCAATTTAGGATCATTGGTTTAGTGACTGTTTTAAGTTAACGACAGCACTGAAAACGACCGTTTTTCTTTTCTTTTTTTCTTTTTTTTAAATAATTTTTATTGAGGATTTTACATTTTAAAGCCAAAGGAGCCTTGGTAGTACAGTGGTTTAAAGCACCCTGTTACTAAGACCAGCTGCCTGCAATTACTGCAGGTTCGAAACTCGCCAGGCTCAAGGTTGACTCAGCCTTCCATCCTTTCTAAGGTAGGTAAATTGAGGACCCAGTTTGTGGGGGCAATAAGCTGACTTTGTATAAATATACAAAAGGATGAAGGCTATTCCTTAACACATTGTAAGCCGCCCTGAGTCTCCGGAGAAGGGCGGCATATAAATCAAATTTTAAAAAAAACCAAAAAAAAAAAACCCCCACACACAATAGCAAAAGAAATCAAGAAACAAAAACAAAAAACAAAAACACACGTACACCAGACGTTAAAATATAATACTAACAACAGATATATACAATTTTACAACTTTCTGCATTGACTTTTGTCTTTACTCTTAGCTTTTATCCTCCCGCACCTTTCTCTTTATTTTTAAATATTCATAATTAACTTTTGTTAGCAGGCTCATTATTTACATTTATATCCAGTATGTTAATATCTAATTTCACTTTATATTCTTATTTCTTAATTTGATTTCTGTTTTCCAACCATGTATAAAACCTATTCCACCCTTTATAATAATCCGAGTCTTCTCTTTCTTCGATCTCCATCGTTAATTTATCCATTTTGGCGCATTCGAAGATTTTCTTTATTATTGTTTCTTCCGGTGGTGTATTGGTCGACTTCCACATTTGCGCTAGAGTAATTCTGGCTGCCATTAGAATATGCAATATAATATAATAAGAGACTTTTTCCCATTTTTCTATCAATTATTCCCAGGAGGAACATCTCTGGTTTAAAATCCTATCTTTTGGAGTGTAATCTCTTCCAACCACCCTTTAATTTTATACCAAAATTTCCTCACCTTAGGGCACATCCACCACATGTGGTAGTATGTCCCTAGTTTGTGACCACATCTCCAACATTGGGGTGAAAACGACCGTTTTTCATACTTACGACCGGTTATGGCATCCCTGTGGTCAAATGTCTATGGAGATGCTCAGTCCTTCAGGTCGTGGTTGTCCCAAAGGTCCTTTTTTTTTTTTTCAAAGAGGCAACTGGACTCTTTGGTTTTTTTTCTTTGAAGACATTTCTCTTCTCATTCAAGAAGCTTCTTCAGCTCTGACTGGACGGTAGGGAATGGAAGGATTGATACTTCTTGCAGACAGCTGGTTATTTGCGTTCTTTTAGACAGTCGTTGAGGCCACTTGGAGGTTTGTCTGTGTCCTCAGGGTCACCTGAGTAGTGCAAATGGGTGTGCAGCCTTCTTGAAAACTGCTGAAAGGACAGTGTTGTTGACTGTTGACAGAGGGTTGTTCCATTTTGATGTTGATCATCGGTTGAGTCAAAGAGGCCATTGGTGTCAAAATGGAATAGCCCTCTCCCAACAGAGGGGGAGCGATACGACATCATATATCTCCAATCTACAACACAGTCCTTTCAATGGTTCCAAGATGGCTTCTGTGGGAAACGGGTCCAAATGGCTCTTTGCGTGTCGAGTGCTGATGCCGGTACTCGCCATCTCCAGAAGAGGCAAGTACAGGGCCGCTTCGCTCCTGCTCTGGAATACGGAGTGAGTCTCCATCTGCTGCCGTCGCCTTTACCTTCTCAGGCGAGGAGTGACTGGGAGGGCGAGGTGCAAAGCTAGCTGGCTAGCAGGGAGCCACAGCAAGGGGCCCAAAGAGCCGCATGTGCCTCCAGAGCCGCAGGTTGCCGACACCCAGATTAGACAGAAGGGGCCTTGCTTGGTTTATATAAGAGAATCGAACAATGTGGTGAGGTCCCGTTTCAGTGAATATGCCCTTTTTTAAAGAAGAGGTGCTAGCCCTCATGATGTCGAAAGCCGGCTTTCACCCTCCATCGGTATAAAATGGGAGGCTTCACTTAGGCCTGATTGATTTCTTGTTCCTGTTTTCTGGTCCGCAGGCCAAAAACGATGTGTGTGTGCATTTAGTGCTACTCCGCCTCCCCCAGTACAGAACGGATCTGCTTGTCACCTTCAATGACCCCACCTGGATTAAGTGAGTGTGCCTTAATTCTCTCTTCTGCCTGTTGCAAGGTTATAACCACTAACTGTTCTGGGGAAAGGAGAGAGAGGGACGGAATAAATTGGAGGATTGAGAATTAAGAATGTGTGTGTGTGTTTGTGTCCTTGTGGTGCTTGCCTCCCACTCAAAAAGTTGAAAGTTCAATCCTAGGTAGCGGCAGATATTTTTTCAGGGCACGACGAGAAAAAAATATCTGCTGGGAACCTCGCATGGCATCAGGAAGGGCATTCGGCCAGTAAACCCTCAGCTCCATCCACTCACCCCAACTCTACCCTGAATTAAAGGATTACACAGCCGTTAAAAAAAAGGAGTGAAAATTAAGAATATTCTTGAGGCGGAGAAATTCTGACTTCTGCTTTTTGAGAGCCATCCCCGTTAAATGCATCCTCGGCTCAATTTGAGGAGAGTTGAGGGTGTTGAAAAGTAGCGCACTCGGTTTCTTAAGATAAACCTTTTGAAATGCCCCCCTCCTCTCCCTCCAAATTGTTCTCAACTTACAACCATTCGTTTAGCGATGGCTCGAAATTACAGCGGCACGGAAAAAAGTGATTTAGGACCGTTTTTCACTTAGAACCGTTGTAGCATCCCTATGGCCACGTTATCAAAATTCGGGTGCGTGGCAACTGGTTCATATTTATGACGGTTGCAGTGTCCCCGGGTGGGTCACGTGACCCCCCCTTTACCAACTTCTGACAAGCAACAGGGATGGGGAAGCCAGTTTCACTTAACAACCGTGCCACTGACTTTAACTATGGCAGTGATTTGCTTAACGACGGTGGCAAGAAAGGTCGTAAAATGGGGCAAAATTCACCCACAGGACAAAAATTTGGGGTTCAATTGTGGTCATTAGTCCAGGATTTAAGTCCAGGGGTGAGATTCAGCCAGTTCGGGAGAACCGGATGCTAATTTTACATCTGGTTTGCCAAACCGGTAATTGCAAGGACTGGCTGGCCCCTCCCACCCCACCCCTCCCAGGAGTCTCCATGCGGCCTGTTTTGGATGCCAGGTAAGTGCAGCGCCCGCGCGGAGGCTCTGGGAGGGCAAAAAACAGGCCTCCCTGAAGTTCCGGAAGTCTGAAAACAGGAGTTTTCGCCCTCACTGAGGCTCGAGAAAAGCCTCCGGAGCCTGGGGAGGGCAAAAAAACAGGCCCATTTCTGGCCTCCAGAGCCCAGGGGAGGTTTTGGAACACAATTTTGCAATTCTGCCCTGTGATGACCCAATTCTTTTTTTCCCTCTCTCTTTCTTTCTTTGAGGCAGCCCTCTAAGTACCAGCGCTGTGCAAAATACAGAGGTCCCCTCGGCACACTCTCGACCGCCCTGGACGGTGGAACATTTCCACGCTTTTGTGTGTAGCTTGCGGCTCCTGGATCCTGGTCTGTTCGGTTAAAACAGTTCTCTCATCTACATTTGCCAGAAATCCAGCTTTGCTCCGGCGTGACTGTGATGCCGGAGCCGTTTGGTTTGGAGGCCTTCAAATGAGCACAGCGGCTGTGGTACATGGATCTTTATCCTTCATCCCCAGACAGAGGAAAGAAGAGATGGGCACTGAATCCAAAGAATGTTCTCTTGGCAAAAAGCAAGCTTGGCAACCTACTTTGCTTTAGGGTTGCATTAGACTAGTGTTTTTCAAACTTGGTGACTTTGTTGTGTGGACCAGTGTTTTTCAAAGTTGGCGACTTTAAGACGTGTGGACTTCAACTTCCAGAATTCTGGGAGTTGAAGTCCACATGTCTTAAAAGTCACCAACTTTGAAAAAATACCGCATTAGACTGTAGGAAGTGTAATTTTACTCACCTCTCCAGCTATTTCCTGATGTCCTTCTACGTGTGATACAAGCAAACTGGGATTACCTACCATTCGCTAGTTTGCGATTTACAAGTCAAAAAATTTTTTTTACACCTCTCAGTAATGGAAGGAGCACGAACCCCAGAAATAATTGCACCTCCAGCGAACCGCCAAAGAGAGATTTTTTATTTGGAGTAGCCGTTTAAGTTCTAGACACGCACCGGTGACTTCCTCGCCCTCGAACGATTAAGAAAAAAAACGTAAAAAGCAGAAGGAAATTTGCTGCAAGCAAAACTTCTTCCTTCCTTCAAATTCTGTCGCTCCCAAAAAGCTTTACGCATTTTGTCGTGAAATTTGGGGTCGTTTCCAAGTTGAGTTTCCTCAACCGTGTTCTTGTGCATCAAGCGACACGGAGGCCAACGTGGAGCTGGTTTTTAAAAAAAAAGATCAACCTGTGAAAATATAGTGGGGTGTTTTTTTTTTCCAAAGGTGTAAAACGGTTAAAAATCTCATACGTCATGCTTTGCGTGCATGTATCATCTCTTAGCACCACCAGTGCTACGTCCAATGGAAACAGAGTTTACTGTGTGGATTGGAGTCCTCAATTACAGTGAATGCCTTTCTCCCTTTTACGTGGATCCTTTGTGCTTCAGGTCTGCTGCTTGATTAAAATAAACGCAAGCTTCAACAAAAGTTTTACCTATCTATCTGACATTAAAATTCTTGTGTCCGTTTGCAACGTTTGGTGCGAAATGTTGGGTGTGTTCAGGGGTGGGATTCAGCCGGTTCGGGCAAACCAGATGCTAATTTTACATCTGGTTTGCTAAACCGGTAGTTGCAAGGATTGACTGGCCCTGCCCCTCCCAGGAGTCTCCATGCAGCCAGTTTTGGATGCCAGGTAAGTGCGGAGACTCTGGGAAGGCAAAAAACGGGCCTCCCAGAAGTTCCGGAAAAGGGCCCGTTTCCAGGCTCCGGAGCCCAGGGGAGGCCATTTTTGCCCTCCCGGAGGCTCGAAGAAAGCCTATGGAGCGTGGGGAGGGCGAAAACACCCCCCAATCGTGGTGCAGGAGGACGAATAGGTCACGCCCACCATGGCCACCCCCACCCAGCAACCGGGCAGAGAACTGGTTGTTACAATTTTGAATCCCACCCCTGCGTGCATCATAAGGCAAATTTTTTTGAATCGGTGTACCTCAAACAGGGCCAATTTACAGAATGTGTCCAAAATCTTGCCCCGTCCCTTATCATTTTCTAGGATGGCCAAATGATGTCCTCTTTTGTTAGCAGGACATCATTTTGCAAGGAAATCACAGCCGGATGTTAGATTGAGAGAGGCAAAACCTCTCCGGAAGGAGAGAGTTGGTAGAGATGATTCATGTGACTCTGGAGAGGCGCTCCTCGTGACCAGACCATGGAAACTGCCATTTTTTGTGGAGCGACTGGGAGTTGCAGCGCAGAATTTAACAAATGCTAAACTGAATTGAGCCCCGTTTCTTAAATCGGTTTCTTCCTTTGCATATTGGAAGAGATTTAAGATCCTTCAGACCAGTAAGGTTTTACTGTATTTGTCGGCGAGTTTCTCCTCCTTTAAAGCAGTGGTCCCCAACCTTTTTATCGCCGTGGCCCGCTGAGCGCGCGCAGGGGTGGGGGCACGGCCCAGGAGCTTTTGCGCACGGCCCATTGCGCACGGCCCAGGAGCTTTTGCGCACGGCCCAGGAGCCTTTGCGCTGCAGCGTTCATGTCCCCCGGCCGCTGCGCGGCCCGGTGCCAGGTACTCCACGGCCCGGCACCGGTCCGCGGACCGGGGGTTGGGGACCACTGCTTTAAAGGATGACGACATCAATTTGAATTTTGTTTTTTTTTTTAAATTAACATTTTGAAAATATATAGGTAGCAAAACCTTTAAGTATTTGGATTTGGGGAAAGTTAGCGAAGGATTAAGGAGGCGGAGGGATTTGGAACGATAGCCTTGAATGAATGAAGGGGGTTTTTTTGTCATGGGAAGATGCGAATTTATTTCCTGTTTTCATGATAAGGAGGCCTTGAAGATTAAACAAGAACAGTTTATGATGTGCAGACTTAAACTCCCAGAATTCCACAGCTAAAATGGGAGTTAGTCGATATGTTTTCCCTGACCTGCCTGGCAGTTTACCCTCCCTTTCCTTTCTTCTTTCCCTTCCCTTCCTTCCTTTCTTTCCTTTCCCTTCCCTTTCTTCTTGCCTTTTCTTTCCCTTCATTTCCTTTCCTTTCCTTTCCTTCTTTCCCTTCCCTTCCTTTCCCTTCCTTCTTTCCTTTCCCTTCCTTTCCTTCTTTCCTTTCCTTTCCCTTTCCTTTCTTTTCTTTCCTTTCCTTTCCCTTCCTTCCTTTCCTCTTCCTTCCTTCCCTCCTGCTGCATCAAGTTTATACTTCCTGGTCCCTTTTCTGTTGAATTAATAAAAATAAAAATATAAATGGACTCTGCACAAGGTGGAGCTAATCACAAGAATTGGGAAGGAGGCGTGAGAGAGGTGCCACATGGTTCAGAACAGCTCAGGAATGTCGTGCAGGGAATGTGCGAGAGGTGCTGTGGAGGTCCAGAAGGATGCAGGGGTGTGCAAAAAGTCAGATGGGGTGCCCAGGGACGTGGGTCGGGAAGGCTGAGCAGGGGTGCAGGACACATGCCATGAGATTGATTTCGCATGCAGAATTGCAGCGCGGCTAAGAGTGTGCGACGGTACATGAGTGGCCAGTGGGGTGGGAGCCCAGAGGGACGATGGGTGTTGTGTGAGTTGGGGGAGACTTACCTGAACAACTTGCGACTTACCTTTCTGGCTTTACCGTTGCCGAAGGTGTCAGGGAGTGTTGGAAAGGACAATGACTCGATTGCGGTGGTGCGACTGAAAACGGCCACACAAATTTTGTCAAATTTCAATTCCCAGTCCTACGGGGCCTAGGTTTTGGACACAATTCTGTATGTTACCCCACTTCAGGTACGTCGATTCAAAAAATGGTTGTCTCCGTAACGCACCATTTTACCCAACTGAAAGTTTACAAACAGATCTGATAACGTTTAACAGCACGTGGATATTGATAAGGGGGGAAACGGGAGCGAGAAATCAAAAAGAGCAGGACGGCACTCTAGTGCCACCTAGAGGCTGGATTAACAAGAGCAGGTGCTACCGGTTTACCCTGGTTCGGGCAAATTGGTAGCGATGGGATTTGAATCCCATTATTGCTGTAGGCCTATTTGGTTGCCATGGAAAAACAGTTTGAACTCAGGCTGCCCCTCGCCACCTTTACAGAGGCCTTATAAGTTTGCAAACTGGGTAGAAGTGACCAATGGAGTCCCCCAGAAAACTTTTTAGGGGGTCCTCATAGGTAGGTGGGACCCAGAGGCCATTTACCAAGCTGACAGCAGTCCATCTTCTGCAGTGGAAAAAATGGTGCTTCACTATAGAATGGGCCAAGTGTATTCCGGCACAAGCATCAAGTCTGGAAGAGCTTCTGCATGATGCGTTGGCTCCTCGATCCAGAAGTTAGGATTACGGTATCATTGTTCCGGGCAGGAGAAAGAGTTGCAGGTTAATTTTTCTCCCCCCATCTGTAAGCGAAGTAGAAAAGGGGGACCCAGAGGTGAGAACGGCCAAAAAAACAAAGCAATGAGGAATGGGCCGCCAATATCTTTCTCTGCCCAGTAAGAAATCGATGCCGCCTGCTGGCATCGAATCTCTTGAGACTAGCTTGACTGACAGCGAGGTCCGGGCTGCCCCTGCCCTGAGGTATGTCGTGACGTGCAAATTGGGGCGTGGGCATTCCCCCCCCCCCCTTATGAGCGGTTTCACTTCTGCAGCCAGCGGAAGTTGACTTGGCGGATCTGATCCCAGAAGAGAAGGCTGAGGATGGTGTGCGGCCCGATGCGGAAGTATGAAGCCCCCACTCCTTTGAAGGCTCCCCAAAAGCCCTCCATGCGGATGATTTTAGCCAGGCAGTCTAAAAGTCCTTTGTACATCATGCCCTGCGGTATAAAGAAAAGGTAACCATGAAGAGATCAAGCTCACCGACAAATTAAAAGGTAAAGGCTCCCCTCGCACATATGTGCTAGTCATTCCCAACTCTAAGGGGCGGGGTTCATCTCCGTTTCAAAGCCGAAGAAACCAGCGCTGTCCGAAGACGTCTCCGTGGTCATGTGGCCGGCATGACTACACGTCAAAGGCGCACGGAACACTGTTATCTTCCCACCAAAGGTGGTCCCTATTTTTTCTACTTGCATTTTTTTTTTACGTGCTTTCGAACTGCTAGGTTGGCAGAAGCTGGGACAAATCACGGAAGCTCACCCCGTTATGCGGCACTAGGGATTCAAACTGCTGAACTGCCGACCTTTCGATTAACAAGCTCAGCGTCTTAATCACTGAGCCACCACATCCCAGTGAATTAAGAGCACCCCAATTTTCTCGAGTTACCCCTCGTTTTCAATGTCCCATTCTCCCAGCCTTAGGTTTTGGAAATCTTGCTTCCTTGTTTTTTTTTTTTTTTTAAATGAACAAACCCATCAGCAGATTTTTGCAAAAGGATGAGGAGATGAATTCAAGACAGGCACTCCTTGAATTACAACGGTTCATTTAGCGACGTGTTTTGGCAGCGCAGGTAGAGTTTGGAAGATTTAAAACTTTAAAAAAAGGAGGGATCGAGAAAGGGTTGACAGCGAATCTGTGTCTGAAAAAAGGTTAAAATCATGTCTACTGGACCAGAGTTTATTTTTCTGAAGGGTCTGGTTACTCAGCCAAGTAACTTCATCAGTTGAATTTTTTTTAAAAAAATTGGGGAGAAACCCCTGCAGTTGGTGTGAGTTGGTACATTCCATTCTGGCCCAGTGATGAAATGCTACCTGTTTGGACCAGTTCGCCCGAACTGGTAGTAATAAAAGCTACCGGTTCGAGAGAAACGGTAGTAAAAAAATGCTAAAATAAATAAGTAAATAAATTTTTTAAAAAATTATTTTGACTGATGAAGTTACTTGGATGAGTAACGAAACGTCTCCAATTAACAAACTTTGGTCTAGTTTTGCCATGATTTTAACCTTTTTAAGGTACTTTTGGCCTGGATGATTGAATTTTCATTGACGTACAGCGAAGCTGTGGAGTTAAGCAACTTGTCTAAGGCAGGGGTCTCCAACTTTGGCAACGTTAAGACTTGTGGACTTCAACTCCCAGAATTCTTCAGCCAGCTGCCTGAGGAATTCTGGGAGTTGAAGTCCACAAGTCTTTTTTTAAAAAAGTTTTTTATTAATCATTCAAAATTAAAAACATCGGACATAGATATGACATCACTGGTTCTAAATATCTTTCAACACTTTAAACTAATACAAATTATGTTAAAGTTAATATTATAATATAATTCTTTAACCTTATATGTTATTTATACATAACATCATACTATCTATATCATATTTCTACACAATTATACATACTTGTCTATTAATCTATACCTGTACCTATTTATGCAATTTACATACATATATATATATATATATTTAATTTGATTTATATGCCGCCCTTCTCCGGAGACTCAGGGTGGCTTATAATGCGTTAAGCAATAGCCTTCATACTTTTGTATATTTTATACAAAGTCAGCTTATTGCCCCCACAAACTGGGTCCTCATTTAACCTACCTTAGAAAGGATGGAAGGCTGAGTCAACCTTAAGCCTGGTAAGATTCGAACCTGTCAATTTATCTGTCATAACATATATATTTCTCATCCAACACTACACCCTTGTCTCAGCTATCTTCCTTTTGTCTAACCATTCATAAAAATTTTTCCAGATTATATAATACTGTGTTTCACATTTATCCTTGAGCTCCAAGGAAAGTCTGCCCATTTCTGCACAGTTAAGAATTTTTAGTAATATTTCCTAAAAAGAGAAAGATACCCCAACTGAAGAGGAAATATTAACTCCACAAGTCTTAACGTTGCCAAGGTTGGAGACCCCTGGTCTAAGCAACCCCTGAAACTAATGGGGTGAGTGACTCAGATGGAAGTCAAGAGTTGGGTGACCGATTTAATGAACCCCAACTCCAGGCAATTTACAGGCAGTCCTCAACTTACGACCATAATCGAGCCCAAATTGTGGGTTGCTAAGCGAGACCGTTGTTAAGTGAGCTTTGCCCCATTTTACGACCTTTCTTGCCGCACTTGTTAAGTGACTCACCGCAGTTGTTAAGTGGGCAGCCTGGTTCTTAAGTGAATCTGGCTTCTCCGTTAATTCTGCTTGTCGCAAACGTGACCTTAGGACAAGGGCAACCGTCGTCAATATGAGCCAGTGTCTGAATTTTGATCACGTGACTTTGGAGATATGCTGCAGCGGTCGTACGTATGAAAAAATGGGCCATAAGGCACTTTTTTTCCCCAGTGCTGTTGTACTTCAAACGGTCACTAAATGAATGGCGGTCTCAAAGGTGCTTTGAGGTGGACTTTCTGGTTTTCCTTTGAAGACGTTTGGCTTCTCATCTAAGAAGCTTCTTCAGTTCTATAATCTTCAGAACTGAAGAAGCTTCTTATTGTGTTTCCCCGAAAATATGACCTGCCCTCAAAGTCCTAGCTTGATTTTTACACGTGCGCCCAATATAACATAAATTATTTCAACTTCTACCCTCAAAATGACGCTATAGAGCACTGTACACCAGAACAACTAGACACAAGGACAGCTTTTTTCCCGAATGCCATCACTCTGCTAAACAAATAATTCCCTCAACACTGTCAAATAATTTACTAAGACTGTATTACTATTCTTCTTCTTTTCCTTACTAGTATCTATCTCTCCACTTATTACTATAACCATGTTTCTTGTATCTTTCAATTTGTATTGTTTTTGTTTCCTAGTATGAGTTGATAGCTTATTAGTAACGTTGGCTATCACTAAGTGTTGTATTTTTTGATTCTTGATGAATGTATTTTATTCTCCTTATTAAAAAAAATAAATTAAATTTTGTATGTGATGTTTTTATTCTTTGGCTGTTCACCGCCCTGAGTCCAGTAGGAGAAGGGCGGTATAAAAATCTAATAAAAATAAAATAAATAAAATAAATAAATTATGTACACTGAGAGCATACACACCTAAGACAAATTCCTTGTGTGTCCAATCACACTTGGCCAATAAAGAATTCTATTCTATTCTATTCTATTCTATTCTATTCTATTCTATTCTATTCTATTCTATTCTATTCTATTATTCTATTCTCTATTCTATTCTATTCTATTCTATTCTATTCTATTCTATTCTATTCAAATAATTTCCTCAACACTGTCAAATTAGTTACTAAGTCTGCATTACTATTAATCTTCTCATCGTTCCTATCACCCTATCATCAATTATGACTGTATGACTGTAACCGTGCTGCTGGTATCCTTAAGATTTATATTGACTGTTTCCCTATGACTATCATTAAGTATTGTACCTTATGATTCTTGACGAATGTATCTTTTCTTTTATGTACTCCGAGAGCATATGCACCAAGACAAATTCTTGTGTGTCCAATCAACTTGGCCAATAAAGAATTCTGTTCTGTTCTGTTCTGTTCTGTTCTCTATCCCCCCCAAAATAAGTCCTAATTAAGACCCCACCCACTCTAGGGTGCACAGATAAAAATTAAGCTAGGGTGGGAATGGGGAGGTGGAGGCCGAGCTGCCCTACTACTTACCTTCGGACAGTTGCAGCCAGGCCTTACACACCCCGACACCTGCCATGTGGGCCCATTTCTTCTGCAGCCGGCAAGGCTTTGCTGATCTGGAGCTCTGTTATCGGCTACAGAGGCCTTCAGGAAAACCTTGCCGGCTGCAGAAAAAGTTCCCGAAGGCCTCTTGACAGTGAAAAGGAGGCCGGGGGCAACGTACAAGTGAGGTGAATCAGTGGACGACATCCCCCACTCCCTCCAAAAATAAGACCTGGTGCTTTTGGTGGGGGGAAAAAAATACAAGACAGGGTGTTATTTTCGGGGAAACACAGGTAGCTGAGAAGCGAAACGTCTTCAAGGAAAAACAAAGGAAGTCCAGTTGCCTCTTGAAAAAGCACCTTTGAGACAACCATGACGTGGAGGACTGAGAATCTCCATAGACATTTAAATGAATGGCTATAAGTCGAGGACTGTTCTGTGTTGCCATCTTTTCCTTTCGTCCACCTAACCACAAGGGTTCCGGCTTCCTCCACATCCTCTCCTTTCTTCCTATTTCCTACCTGGCCATCGGGTCCAACCGGTTGGTTGTAAAGGCGGGTGCTGGCCACATCAAAAGGTGTCATGGCGATGGCCACAACGAAGCTGCTCGTCATCCCGGCGCTCAAGGCAATCAGCCAGCTGTCTTTGGGGAAGATCTGGAGGAAGAGGAGAGAACAAAAGGCTAGAAGCCACCTGTCAGGGTTCTGAAGGATGCCCTAATTAAATGAGCTTCGAGCCAAGCTTCAAAAGAAATCCAGTTATTTATTAGGAGCTTCATGTCAGCAAGTTCCAAGTGAAGCCAACTCTGACCCCACATAATTTACGGCTGACACCTGACTCTGTTTCCCCCCCTCGCCCCAGGGTGTGTCATCAGTCACATTCGCCAAGGGTTGTAGAGATCACTCCCCTCTGGCTGCTGTGGGTAACCCTGGGAGACAGCCTTGAGAGAGATATGTCTAGAATGTGCTTCTGTTTTTGGCTGCTGTGCTGCTTCGCCGTTTTCCCATCCCCCTTGCGTATGGCAACTCGAGAGCAGGCCAGGGATGCTTTGTGAATTGACACCAACGAAGTTACGGCCAGCTTGGGTGGAGATCAACAACCTGGATCCAATCAGAGGATCAATCCACATAAGAAATGCAGGTGGGGTTTTTATTTGTATGAAAATGTAATTCTCCACAGTTTGGGATGTGAAAAGAATGGGAGGGGCACTCCCCCCCTGAAGAAACAGAACGAGGTGGGACATAGAAGCATAAAAAACCAATGGGACAAAAAGACACCATTGACCATCGAGTCTGCCCTGAGTTTTTTGTTTTTCTGTTTTCTGTTTCATTATTATTATTTTTGTATTTTTGTTGGATGATAGACATGTGTTTATACCAGGCATGTTTAACTCTGTTACTGATGATGAACTGCACTATCTTTGCTGGAAGTCGGTTCTATGATTTCACTACCCTTTTTGTGAAGTAAAAGGGCCCATGCAAAATCACCATTAAGTGAGGCAAAAAATATTCCAGCATTCTGTTCCCACTAGGGAATATGACAGATTTACTCATGCTGTACCAAATAAACAATAACTCTTCCATAAACCTACCATGGCTAGCTTCATACCCCACAAGAAAAGAACATTATGCTTTAGGACTGAGATTATCAAACCTATTCCTATTCCTATTCTGTTCTGTTCTATTCCGTTCCATTTTCTATTCTACTCCACTCCACTCCACTCCACTCCATTCTATTCTATTCCTATTCCATTCCTATTCCATTTTCTATTCCATCCCATCCCACTCTACTCCACTAAATTCCATTCCATTCAATTTTTCATTCCATCCCACTCCACTGCATTCCATTCCATTCCATTTTCTATTCCATCCCATCCCATCCCACCCCACCCCACCCCACTCCACTCCTTCTGTTCTGTTCTGTTCTGTTCTGTTCTCTGCTCCATTCGGCCTGCAAATCCGCAGTTTGGATTAAAGCCCTGTTGCCATTTTGTCTCTTCTGCCATGACCAGCCTAAATTTAAACTTGTAGCTCTCCTTGGAATAAAGACTAAGTTGATGCCATGCATGCATGCATGCGGGAAAAAAAAATTAACTACAAATCCATCTTCTTAAGCTCCGGTGCTGTATTAATAGCCATTGGATTAGAAACACATTTAATACTCAAGAGTTGGAAAGAATAAGGAGGAAGTGACCATAAATTTGGCAAGAAAACAAGAGTATATTGGGGTATTGCTCCCACAATTTTATGTATTTTATTTTAGTTTTATCCTGCCTTTATTATTTTTTTATAAATAAACTTGAGGCAATGAATATATCTAATACTGCTTCCCGGTGGTGGGATTCAAATAATTTAATAACTGGTTCTCTGCCCTAATGACCGGCTGGGTGGGCGTGGCACCCGGCCTCCTGCATCCCCCACCCCGGGAGTAAAAATGGGCTGCGGGGGGGGGATCACACGCCCGCCCCCCACCCCGTTTTGGGCCTAGTAGGCCTCCCTGCACTTACCTGGGAGCCAAAACGGGGCACAAGGAGCACCATTTCGGCAATATTCAGATGCAGTTAGAACTAATCCCACGTAGATTTACGTTCCCTATGACCCTGTCTCTCCCCTCCTCTCTGGCCATGTCATAAATCACATTCTCCAATTAACTACTCTGGCTGGCTGTGAAATCCAACACCTTCCTTCTGATTGCGGTCAGGAAGAATGTTTGGAATGCACTTCAGTTAGGGAAATCAATCAGCTCTATCAGTTCTCCCTCCCTCCTGCTCATGGCAACTTGAAAGCTTTGCAAGTTGACATTGACTTTTGGAAGGGGGGGGGGAGGGGGGCAGCCAGCAATTTAACAACCGGTTCAGCCGAAGTGTTGCGAACCGGTTGAATCCCACCACTGCTCCTTCCTCCTCCTATTTTCCCTAATACAACAATTCAGTGAGATGAGCTGTGTTAAGAGAGAGAATGACTGGCTCAAAGTCATCCAGCTGTCTTTTGTCCCTAAAGTGGAACTAGGACTCACAGTCTCCTGGTGTTTGGCCCAAGGTCACCCAGTTAGGCTTTCAATCCTAAGGCCGAACTAGAACTCACCGTATCCTGGTGATTGGCCCAAAGCCAGCTGGCTTTCGTGCCTAAAGCGGAACTAGGACTCACGGTCTCCAGCTTGGTGCCTTAACGACTAGACCAAGATCAAATGCATATCCCAATTTTACTTCTCCCTTGGATCACAGATTTATGTCTAAGGTTTACAGAGTTGGAAGAGACCTTGTAGGTTATCTAGTCCAACCCTACACCATTTCTGACAGATGGCAGTCCACTCTCTTCTTGAAAGCTTCCAGTGATGAAGTTCCCACATCTTCCGACAGCAAGCTGTTCCATGAGTTGATTGCGCTCACTGTCAGAAAATTTCTCCTCATTTCCAGATTGAATCTCTCCTTGTTTAGTTTCCATCCATTATTCCTTGTCCGGCCTTCAGGTGCTTTGGAAAATAACTTGACCCCCTTCCTCTCTGTGGCAGCCCCTCAGATATTGGGAACACTGCTATCATGTCTCCCCTGGTCCTTCTCTTCACTAGACTAGCCATGCCCAGTTCCTGCAAATTCTTCATATGTTTTAGCCTCCAGTCCCCTAATCATCTTCATTGCTCTTCTCTGCACTCTTTCTAGGAGTTTCAACATTTTTTTTTATAGTGTGGTGACCATAACTGGATGCAGTATTCCAAGTGTGGTCTTACTAAGTCTTTATAGAGTGGTATTTGTAATTCACTTGATCTTGATTGTATCCCTCTGTTAATGCAATTTAGGATTGTATTGGCTTTTTTGGCTGCCGCCGCAAACTACTAACTCATATTTAACTGGTTGTCCCCCAAGACTCCAAGATCCCTCTCTCAGTCACTGCTATTAAGCCTGGCTTCACCCAGTCTGTATGTGTACTTTTGGTTTTTCTTGCCTAAGTGTAAGACTTTACTGTTCTCTACATTGAATTTCATTTTGTTAGATATCATCACAACCGATCAGATAGGATCAGACAGATTCTAGACCCACCATCGCAAATCCAAGTTTTTTTCTATTGTAACTCCTGTAGCTTTTTCAAAACAAGCAAAGGAAACCATCGTACCTCGAGGTTGTTGAAGAACTGTTTGGAAAAGGAGAAGGTACATAGCTGCGTGGATGAACCGACCATGACTCGGGGCACGGAAGAAATGGCTCCACGCCACAGCCCTAATACACCGTGTTCTTTGTGGATCCCACATAACGCATGGAACATTCCCTAGGCAGACAACAGAAAAGGACTATTAACGTTTAGGAGCATCCGTGTCTATAGTTATCATCTCGTTCAACCGACTGGAAGTCGTCAACTGAAATATTTGGACCGCTTGAAGTCAGGTGCGAGCGGGATTTGAACTCTTCTTGACTTGACAAGACCACCCTGCAGATGTCATGGAAGAAATCACTTTGTCTCCAAGACAGAGAACACTAAACACAGAATAATGGAGTTGTAAGGGACCTTGGAGATCTTCTAGTCCAACCCTCTGCTCAACCAGGAGACCCTATCCCATTTCAAAGAAATGTCTATCCAAACTCTTCTTAAAAATCTACAGCAATGGTGCACCCACAACTTTCAGAGGTAAGCCATTTTGCTGATTGACAGTTCTCATTGTCAGGAAATTTCTCCTTAGTTTTAGATTGGATCTCTCTTTAATGATCTTCCAACCCATTGCTTCTTGTCTTGCCTTCAGATGCTTCGGAGAAGAAAGAAAGAAAGAAAGAAAGAAAGAAGGAAGGAAGGAAGGAAGGAAGGAAGGAAGGAAGGAAGGAAGGAAGGAAGGAAGGAAGGAAGGAAGAAAGAAAGAAAGAAAGAAAGAAAGAAAGAAAGAAAGAAAGAATAAAGAAACTAAACTCTACCTCAAAAATTCTACCTAGTTCACGAAAATTATATATAGGCCCCTTTATGTGTATAAAAATCTTGGTACATAAAAATCTTGGTTTACGTAGGAAGAACCTGGCTAAAGAGAAATACACATAAAGGCCTACGAAAAGAAAAGAAAACAAATACTGTACCTTTACAGGGGGGATACATGGGATGAGGGTGTGGCTAACTGATGAGAACTAATAAGTCCGAAATAGATCTATCTTAATCTCCTTAGTCTCCCAATGGGCAGCAGAATGCTTTCTGGCTGTCAGAAAAAAAAGCCTAGAAACTAGTGGATTGTGATTTCACTGAACTAGGGCTGCATAAAAATCTTGGTTTACGTAGGAAGAACCTGGCTAAAGAGAAACATCCCATGTTTCTCCTTAGCATTTAGGCTTATATACCGCTTCACAGTGCTTTACAGTCCTCTCTAAGTGGTTTTACAGAGTCAGTCTATTGCCTCCAACAATTTGGGTCCTCATTTTACCCACCTCGGAAGGATGGAAGGCTGAATCAACCTTGAGCCGGTCAGGATCAAACTCCTGACAGTGGGCAGAGTTAGCAATAGCGCTTAGACTTATATACCACTTCACAGTGCTTGACAGCCTTCTCAAAGCCGTTTACAGAGTCAGGATATTTGCCCCCAACAATTTAGGTCCTCATTTTACCGACCTTGGAAGGATGGAAGGCTGAGTCAATCTTGAGCCTGATTTGAACTGCCAAATTGCAGTCAGCTGGCAGTCAGCAGAAGTAGCCTGCAGTACTGCACTCTAACCACTGCACCACCATGGCTCAATGGGGAAGCCAAATTCACTCGGCAAACGTGTTACTAAATTAACAACTGAAGAGATTCACTTAACCAATGTGCAAGGAAGGTTATAAAATGGGGCAAAAAAATTCACTTCGTAAATGTTTCGCTTAGCGACAGAAATTTCAGGCTCAATTGCGGTCATAATTTGAAGACTACCCGAATTTGCAAAGGCGCAAAATAGGGACTCGGCCGGGGTGGAAGGCCCAACTTTACTCAATCCTTCCGTCCCAGGAGAGAACATTATACACAAATCTTTTTTCCCAAGTAAATCTACTGTATTTCTTACACCAACCCGGCAACCGGAGATTTCCAGTGTTGAGTTTTGAGAGCAGAGTATTAGTAAGAGATTAGAAGCTGTACATTTTTAAAGATCTGGGAAGCTATTTAGTCCATCTACCTCCCTATTCGTTAGGGCAGACTGGCAGTTTTCCAAGCTCCGGGGCAGGAATAATCAGGGATTGGCCAGAGATGCTGCAGAATCTTCAGACTTAACCTGGTTTGCCTCGGAAATGGTCCCAAATCAGGCTGACGTAGCATGCTTTCTGGCGGAGATTTTTTATTTTTATTTTTATTTTTTATTTATTTGTTTCCATTTCTATACCGCCCTTCTCCAATAGGACTCAGGGCGATGACCAGCCAGAGTAAAAAAAAAAAAAACATACAAAATTTAAAAAACAGTTTAAAATGATTAAATATTTTTGGCCATAATTTAAAAACAACCCAATTTAAAATCAGTTTAAAATTTAACTCAAGCCAGCCCAGCTAGTTGAAATAAATAAGTTTTCAGGGCCCGACGAAAAATCCGGAGGTCTGTTATTATACGTATCTCTTGGGGGAGGTTGTTCCAGAGGGTGGGTGCCACCACAGAGAAGGCTCTCCCCCTGGGGTCGCCAGCCGACATTGTCTGGCGGACGGCACCCTGAGGAGGCCCACTCTGTGCGAGCGTACTGGCCGGTGGGAGGCTATTGGTGGCAGAAGGCGGTCTCGTAAATACCCCGGCCCTAAGCCATGGAGCGCTTTAAAGGTGGTCACCAACACCTTGAAGCGCACCCGGAAGACCACTGGGAGCCAGTGCAGCTCGCGCAGGAGAGGTGTCACATGGGAGCGTCCCGTCGCCCCCATAATCCCCCGCGCGGCCGCGTTCTGGACCAGCTGGAGCCTCCGGGTGCACCCCAGGGGGAGCCCCATGTAGAGAGCGTTGCAGTAGTCCAGGCGGGAAGTGACGAGTGCCTGAGTGACTGTGCGTAGGGAGTCCCGATCTAGAAAGGGGTGTATCTCATTTCCATCTCATTTGGCCATCTCATTTCTTCACTCTACTTCCAATCGAGCAAGGCAATGCAAGAATATTTCGAATAGATTGGAGAACAGTATTACCTAGGACAGTGATGGTGAATCTTTTCGGCACCCAAGTGCCCAAATCGGAACACGCGTGCATGTGCACGAATGTGCACATACCAGAGCGCTGGAAACCTGAATACCAGCTCGACGGCGCACGCATGCCTGTTTTTTGGGCGTTTTTTGGGCCGTTTTCAGGTTGTTTTTCGGGCCGTTTTCAGGCCAGTTTTTGGGCAGAGCCCTCTCTGTGGGCACGCGCGCCATCGACAGCTGCTCTTCTGGTTTCCAGAGCGAACATGCGTGCCGGCCAGCTGCTCTTCGCGGATGCCAGAGCGCCAGAAAACAGCCGGTTTTTTGGCCGGTTTTCGGCGCTCTGGCACCGATAAAGACCATCTGGCCAGCGCTCATGTGTGCCAGAAACTAGCTGGCGACAGCACGTGTGCCCACAGAGAGGGCTCTGCTTGCCACCTCTGGTACGCGTGCCACAGGTTCGCCATCATGGACCTAGGATGATTGCTTACTACTTCCTGAGCAGAGATTTAAGCAACCGATAACCCAGAGGAAAATTAAGTTCGCCCAAGACTTTAATTGAGCTGGCATGGTTTTTGTTTTTATTTATTATTTATTTATGTATCTCTCGCCTTTATTACAAATAACTCAAGGTGGCGAACATATCCAATGCACCTTCCCTCCTCCTACTTCCTGCTCAACAACAACCCTGTGAGGTGGGTCGGGCTGATTGGCCTAAAATTGAACAGCTGGCTTTCGTAGCTGAGGCAGAATTAGAACTCACTGTCTCCAGCTTTCTAGACTATTTCCTGAGCCCAGAGGTGGGGAAACTATGGCCCCTTTATGACTTGTGGACTTCAACTCCCAGAATTCCTGAGGGAACTACGGCCCCTTTATGACTTGTGGACTTCAACTCCCAGAATTCCCGAGGGAACTACGGCCCCTTTATGACTTGTGGACTTCAACTCCCAGAATTCCTGAGGGAACTACGGCCCCTTTATGACTTGTGGACTTCAACTCCCAGAATTCCTGAGGGAACTACGGCCCCTTTATGACTTGTGGACTTCCAACTCCCAGAATTCCTGAGGGAACTACGGCCCCTTTATGACTTGTGCATTTCAACTCCCAGAATTCCCGAGGGAACTACGGCCCCTTTATGACTTGTGGACTTCAACTCCCAGAATTCCTGAGGGAACTACGGCCCCTTTATGACTTGTGGACTTCAACTCCCAGAATTCCTGAGGGAACTACGGCCCCTTTATGACTTGTGGACTTCAACTCCCAGAATTCCCGAGGGAACTACGGCCCCTTTATGACTTGTGGACTTCAACTCCCAGAATTTCCAAGGGAACTACGGCCCCTTTTATGACTTGTGGACTTCAACTCCCAGAATTCTTGAGTCAGCATAAGCTGGCTCAGGAATTCTGGGAGTTGAAGTCCACAAATCATAAAAGGGGCCATAGTTCCCCACCTGGGCATAGACCAAACTGAATTGCTTAATCACTAGACCAAATTTAGATATTTTTTTTAAAGGGGAGGGTGTAATTTGTAGACAATGCTTTTATTGCTCTTTCATAGACCCAAACAGAAGTGAACAACTGGCCAGGATATATCTACAGTAGTTACAAATAGTTCTCGACTTAAAACAGCTCATTTAGTGACCGTTCAAAGTTACAACGGCACTGAAAATAAGTGACTTACGGCCGTTTTTCACAGATACAACCTTTGTGGCATCCCCATGATCACGCGATCAAAATTCAGATGCTGGGCAACTGGTTCATACTTACGACCGTCGCAGCGTCCCGGGGTTGCAACCTTCTGACAAGCAAAGTCAGATTCGCTTAACAACCACATTACTAACTTATCAACGGCGGTGATTCACTTAACAACGATGGCAAGACATGTAAAATGGGGGGAAACTCACTTAACAAATTCTCACGTAGCAACATCAATTTTTGGGCTCAGTTGTGGTCGTAAGACGAGGACTACCTATGTTTTCTTTCTCTACAGATAGACCTCGACTTACAGCCATTTATTTAGTTAAAACCACCCTGAAAAAAGTCACTTATGACCGTTTTACACACCGCAGCATCCCTCCCGTCACATGAACAAAATCCCGGATGCTTGGCAACCGGTTCATAGTTATGACGGTGGCAGTGTTCATAGGGTCATCTGATCACCTTTTGCGACCTGCTGACAAGCAAAGCCAATGGGGGGAAACCAGTTTCACTTCACAACTGTGTTACTCACTTAACAACCACGGTGATTCGCTTAATAGCTTTGGCAAGAAAGGTCGTAAAAGGGGACAAAACTCACTTAACCACCATCTCGCTTAGCAACAGATATTTTTGGGCTGTGTGTGTGTGGGTTGTAAATCAAGGAGTATCTGTATAATAAAATGATTAATCTTTAAGGAGCCATAGATTGCATGTTGTTGTTCTTTGGGTATGCAACTTGGGAGTGCAAACGATGAGATTTTAACAGATTAACAGAGTTGGAAGGGACCTTATAGGTCATCTAGTCTAACCCCCTTCTCAAGGAGGAGACCCTATACTTGTGATGACGAACCTATGGCACGCGTGCCACCTGTGGCATGCGGAACTATATCTGTGGGCACGCGAGCATTGCCCTAGCTCAGCTCCAGCGCCGGCCAGCTGATTTTTGGGCCTTCCCAAGGAAGGCCCCAAAATACCCTGGACTCCCCTGGAAGTCGGGAAATGGGCCATTTACGGCTTCCAGAGGGCTTCCGGGGGAGGGATGGGGGAGGCCATTTTCGCCCTCCCCAGGCTCCAAGAAAGCCCCTGGAGCCTGGAGAGGGCGAAAAAACGGGCCTACTAGGCCCACCGGTAATCTTTTTGCTGTCGCGTGCCAAAAGTGTGGGGGGGGCACTGAATTATGGGTGTGGACACACATGCTCGCGACCCCCCCCCACTGCCCCCGCTTTTGGCACACGACGGCAAAAAGGTTAGCCATCACTGCCCTATACCCTTTCTGACAGGGAAAATAAATAACATCCTTGCCTTGTATTTTCTGAAATCTAGCTATCTGTTCTGTCCCCGTCCCACACACGCACCCCCACAGACGACCCGGAGTTAATAAGCCACATGACAAAATCTTTGAAGATAAAGCTGGCAGCAACCCAGTGGCTAGCTGCCAATTCAGACTTTACTCACACAAAACAAAGATTAGACTGCAAGCATTCCGATAAAGCAGGCAAAGTTTCAGCAATACAAGGATTAGTCCAAATGCAGTCCGACAAGGCAGGCAAAAATCCAGTAACGCAGAGATCATGGATTATTTCTAGTTTTTGCTCGTCACAAACTGAACTGGCCACCACACCCACATTTATACCCTGTGGGGTGTGGTCGTGACTCAGCTAATCTCTGGCACGCCTTCCCCTCTGCTGCACACGCTTCTCCCTGCGCCTCTGCCGAGGGTCCAGCCAGCACTTATCTCCTTCGTTGCTTTCCACCTGTGGCTGCGGGGACGTGCTTGGCTCTGGGCCTATCTCTTGGCCTTCGGTGTCCTCTGGAGGCATTGCCAGAGAGGAGGGTTCTGAAGAGGGAGGCCTTGCCAACTCCTCTCCCTCACTCTCAGAGTCTGCATAGCCCAGGCTCAGGCAACGGAGCCACAACACTATCCTATTGGATCTTGAGGTCATACCACCAATGAATATGCTAAGAATACTTCCTGGAAACCATGCCTAGAGAACCGAGTTCTAGGTAACATGACAGCTATAGAAATAATAATGGTTGACGGTGATTTCCATCGCTTGGGAGGCTGCCTCTTCAGCACATGGAAACAGGGGTGGGCCAGATGTTCTTAAAGAGAGCTGGGCGTGCCGGAACAAGCTCCTCCACCAATAATCAAAATTGGAAAAAGATACTATAATTTAGTGGCAGAACAAATCAATAAGTTCAGCCTCTAGCATCTTTGGATAATACTGGGATGCAGGCCAGTGCAGAACTGTGTTCGGTTCTGGATCAGTGATGCAGGAAGGACTATTTCATGGTGAGGTACTTTTCCGTCGTTCCAATTTTGAAAAGGTCTATAGAGCTGTTCCATTGATTAACTGGTCTCACTGTCAAGAAATATCTCCTTAGTTCTAGGTTTGAGCCAGTGGTGAAATCCAATTTTTTTTACTACCGGTTCTGTGGTCGTGGCCTGGTGGGCGTGGTGTGGCTTGGTGGGATTGGCAGGGGAAGGATATTGCAAAATCTCCATTCCCACCCCACTCTGGGGCCAGCCAGAGGTGGTATTTGCCAGTTCTCCGAACTACTCAAAATTTTCGCTACCGGTTCTCCGAACTACTCAAACTTTCTGTTACTGGTTCTCCGAACTACTCAAAATTTCCGATACTGGTTCTCCGAACTATTCAAAATTTCCGCTACCGGTTCTCCAAACTACTCAAAATTTCTGCTACCGGTTCTCCAGAACCTGTCAGAACCTGCTGGATTTCACCCCTGGTTTGAGCTCTCTTTAATGATCTTTCACCCATTACTACTACTTTTTTTTTGTAATAAGTTTTTATTTTATTTTATAGTATATAAAAACTCCAACTTCAATTGAACAGCATGTTGTCTGGGTACAACTCATTTTAGGAAGTTAATATTCAAAATGTTTACAGCAATATTCATCGCATTTATATCAAGATATATTAATACCAATAATAGTCATACTATTTGTTTAACCAAGTGAACACATCTTCCTTTATCACTGATCCTTTCATATATTTCCCTGCTTCCAGCTCCTGTTTTTGTCAGCTAGCCATTGATAAAATAAATCCCAAGTCAAAAAATATTCGGTTTCTTTCTTTTCCTTAATTGTAAGTGTTAGCTTTCCATTTCTGCACATTCTAATATTTTTCTAATCCTGTCTTCTTCTGTTGGGATCTTTTCACTTTTCCACTGTTGTACAAATACTATTCTCGCTGCCATCAATACGTGTAAAATCAGTTATACCAGGGGTGAAATCCAGCAGGTTCTGACAGGTTCTGGAGAACCGGTAGTGGAAATTTTGAGTAGTTCGGAGAACCAGCAAATACCACCTCTGGCTGGTCGCACAGTAGGGTGGGAAAGGATTTTTTGCAATATCCTTCCCCCAGGAGTGGGAAGGGAATGGGGATTTTGCAGTATCCTTCCCCTGGAGTGGGGAGGGAATGGGGATTTTGCAGTATCCTCCCCCTGCCACGCCCACCAAGCCACGCCCACCAAGCCACACCACACCCACCAAGCCACGCCCACAGAACCAGTAGTAAAAAAAAATTGGATTTCACCACTGAGATATACATTCCCTTCTTTCACCCATTACTTCTTGTCCTGCCCTCGTGAGCTTTGGAGAACAGGTCAGCCCCCACTTCTCTATGACAGTATGGGAAGACTGCCATCAAATCACCCTTAGTCCTTCTCTTCGTTTACACTTGATTTAGAATCATGAGGACCAGCATCTTCATTTCTCTTTTTTTATATATAATGGTTTTTTTTTTTAAATAATTCCAGAGATCCCGTAAGAAAGGCTAAGAAAGTTGAAAATCCTGCAAGCTTGCTGACCGGTAATTTATTTATTTATTTATTTATTATTTATTAATTTAATTTGTATACCGCCCTTCTCCCAGAAGGGACTCAGGGCGGTGAACAGCCAAAATTAAAAAACAGACAAATGCAAAAGTTAAGATAATTAAAAGAATTAAATCATTGGCTACCCAATTTAAAACCCCAAATCCATAAAATTTAAAATCCCAATTAAAAACCCAATTTACGGTGAGATCCCGAGGAATCAAAAGCTCAGCAAATTACAACTTTCTCACTATTAAGCTACAGGGCAAGATCAGCTTACCTGGTGCTGATACTGGTGTCCAACAGCAATCTCAGACGCTGACTGCGCTTGGAGATGAGTCTTCACCTGTAGAGAGGATTGGAGAAAAGTCATTTTTTCCTAAGGAACAATGTGTCGGGGAGATGCATTCAAAAATAATGTTGATTTGGGTTTCTCCCACCAATGTGTTACCCTCTTCTGAAGCAGCGTTTTTGTTCTATTAATCAGAGCGGTGAAAGGCTCGTGTTCAAAACTGCTTGAATAAAATAGAATAGAATAGAGTAGAGTAGAGTAGAGTAGAGTAGAGTAGAGTAGAGTAGAGTAGAGTAGAGTAGAGTAGAGTAGAATAGAATAGAATAGAATAGAATAAGAATAGAGTAGAGTACAATAAGAATAGAATAGTAGAGTAGAATAGAATAGAGTAGAGTAGAGTAGAATAAGAATAGAATAGGATAGGATAGAGTAGAGTAGAGTAGAATAGGAGTAGAGTAGAGTAGAATAGAATAGGAGTAGAATAGAATAGAATAGAATAGAATAGAATAGAATAGGAGTAGAGTAGAGTAGAATAGGAGTAAATAGAATAAGAATAAAATAGAGTAGAGTAGAGTAGAGTAGAGCAGAATAGGAGTAGAGTAGAGTAGAGTAAAATAGAATAGAATAGAGCAGAGGAGAGCAGAATAGAATAGAATAGAATAGGAGTAGAGTAGAGTAGAATAAGAATAGAATAGAATAGAATAGAGTAGAGTAGAGTAGAGTAAAATAGGAGTAGAGTAGAGTAAAATAGAATAGAATAGAGCAGAGCAGAATAGAATAGAATAGGAGTAGAGTAGAATAAGAATAGAATAGAATAAGAATAGAATAGAATAGAATAGAATAGAATAGAATAGAATAAGAATAGAATAGAATAGAATAGAATAGAATAGAATAGAATAGAATAGAATAGAATAGAATAGAATAGAATAGAATAGAATTCTTTATTGGCCAAATGTGATTGGACACACAAGGAATTTGCGTTCTCACACAGCCGGTGAAAACCAGTCCAGTAGCAAATCTGGCCCTCGTAAAAAAAAAGTACAAGGACAGGTGGACAAAGGAGCAACCAGGCAGCCCCATTTACCCAGCGGTTCGAAGGCAGCCCTGCAAAGCTAGCTCACTGCTCACTCCAGCGGTTCGATTCTGAGCGGCTCAAGGTTGACTCGCCCTTCCAGCTTTCCGAGGTCGGTGAAAATGAGGACACCCCCCCTCCCCCCGATTGTTGGGGGCAATAGGCCGACTCTGTAAACCGCTTAGGGAGGGCTCTTAGAGCACCGAGAAGCGGTATATAAGGCCGAGGGCTGTTGCTATAGCTATCGGGAAATATTTTGGGTGACTGCTGCTTTTTTCTTTCTTTCTTTTTTTTTTTAAAAAAGCCCACATTGGATTTATTTGCAGAATTCATTCTTTATCCCTGGATTCTGAAAGGCAGAATTCCACCTGGCATGGCATCTCAATTCTCAGCATTCTCTATTATTCTACTCTATTCCAGTAATTCTCAGCATTCTTTATTATTCTACTCTATCCCAGTAATTCTCAGCATTCTCTATTATTCTACTCTATCCCAGTAATTCTCAGCATTCTCTATTATTCTATCCTATCCCAATAATTCTCAGTATTCTCTATTATCCTATCCTATCCCAGTAATTCTCAGCATTCCCTATTATTCTATTCTATCCCAGTAATTCTCAGTATGTTCTATTATTCTACTCTATCCCAGTAATTTTCCTGTGCGCTGCTCCCACTATCCATGCATGGGGTTAATCCTTCAGTGCTTGGCAAACAACTGAGTGAAAACAAAAGACTTTTCCTCCCCTTTCCGGCTCCCAAGCCACGCCTCTGTTCCCATGATTCCCCAGTCTTCACTCAGTTGCTGGCAAACACTGCAGTGATTTTGGGAGCTCCACAGTTTTCCAGGAAGGTATTGTACCGCTGTGGGGATAGTTCTCCCCTTTGTTCTTTCTTTCCTAGTTGCTTTAATCTTCCCTTTCCTTAGGGCGTCTAGGCTTTTTATTTAATTTTGAATAGATTGTTTTTCGCGGCTCCTTCTATCTATCTAGTTTTTTACTGCTGCATGTGCATCAGAAGAAGGGGGGGGGGAGCGGAGCTAAGCTGCCCACGCCGCCCGATCGGCTGGATCACCTTTAAAGAGGCTCCTTTTCCCGCTTTGGTGCCGCCGCTCTCGCTCGCGCTCCCCAGCTGACCGGCAGGCTCGTTGCACGCCCCTCGCTCACCGCGCCCCGCGCTCAAAGCGGCTTCGCGCTAATCAGCTGGGCGTCGGGGCCGGAGCCTTGGACCACGTGGCGCGGACCGCAGCGCTTCCTGGAGAGCCGCGCTGCGCCGAAAGGACATCGGCAGAAGCGCGAAGAGGAGGAGGGCCCCAATATAAGCAGCCTGCCCCTACACTACGGAAAAGGCTTGCAAAGGGGATACGCGCGGCGTTTGGCGGACCCTCGGGCCGCCATTGTGAGTCCGACGCTGAAGACTGGCACAGCGGGTGATCGCACCACGTGCCAGCGCCATTTTGACGGACCCTCGGGCCGCCATTTTGGCAAGTGCCTCAGGCCTACGCCTCCCTCCACTCCAGGGAGCCGGCTACAAATCCCCCCCTCCTCTATCACTCCTCGCCTGAAGGGAGTTCTTCCCCATTTGGGGTCAAACCTCAGCGCATCTCCACGCCGGCCCAAATCGTCGCTAAAAGGGCAATGTCTCGCTCCCCCCCGTCTTCGGATATGGAGCTCGAGCTCACCCCCCCACGCAAAACCTCAAAAGGGGGGAAAAAGAAATCCAAGAGGGAACACACGAGCTCAACCAGCAGGGCGCATCAGAAGGCTCCCTACCCATCCGGGACAGGGACGCCTTAAGGAGGCACAATGCACTCGAGCGGCAGTGGGAGAGAGCGCACAAAGCGACTGCAGGAGCCACAGCCAGAGAGTCCGGGCCCTTTGGACCAGCACAGGCCCCCCCAGGGGAAATAGAGCTGGGACTTTCTTCAGTGGCTGACATTGCAGTCACGCCAAGAACCCCAGATGTGACCAGACCGGACACAGCGCGACCCCCCGTCTTGACACAGGCCCAGGGACCGATCAGAGGCCGCAGTGACCCCTTCCCCAGCCCAGCTGTTTCGGGCCAGGGACGCAACCCTCACCCCGTCAAGGGCAGACCAGCAGACCCAGGGGGGGGCAGGAGGGACACCCCAATGGATTTCCAGGCCATGTTCTCGGCCTTCTCGTCGTTCCTCACAGCAAGCATGCAGCAGGCTTCCCAGACACAGGCACAAGCCGCACCGGCCCAGGCACGACAACACCACTCGCAACTCCGTCCTCACCCAGACCAAGGGCAGGACTCGTCGTCTGAAGAATCAGACCAAGCGGAGGAAGGGCCTGAGGAGATGGAGCTATCGGAGGACGAGGGCCTGGCACCGGACACCCCGGCATTTACTGCCTCTTTCGCCCGGCGCTATTCAAATCCCTACTCCACAAGGCGCGGCTTACAACCAACCTCGGAGTTCCAGGGGACGTCGCAACTACTACCACCGCAAACAGCAGGCCCTCATGACGCGCTTTTTCAATCGTCAAAACCACAAAAGGACTTCATCCCTTGCCCTCAGCTCTTACGGAGGTCATTCAGAACCCCTGGGCGCAACCAGCCTCCCTGGCAACGCCCAGCAGCCTGGAAAGGAAACTCTACTGCTCAGCCCCGGAATTGGAGGACCTTCTGGCGCTGCCCTCAGTAGACCAACCAGTGGCAACGCTATCCTCTAGCTCCTTGGTCTCCACCGACCCGCTAGACACTCTCAAAGCAGAGGAGAAGAGAATGGAAGGGGCTTTCCGCAAGGCTCATCAGGCAGCAGGCTGGGCAATCAGATCCGCGACCGCCTCGTCCTTCTTCAACAGAGCGTCCCTCATTTGGCTCCGGCACCTCCAGGACAGACTCCCGCCGAGGATACTAGGCTGCATCAAGATCTTAACAAAATAATAGCTGCCACTGAATACACAGCTGACAGCTCTCTGAACTCTGCTAAGTTCGCTTCTAGGGCTCTAGCCTCAACCATCAACCGCTAGGAGGCTGTTCTGGCTTAAGCCATGGAAAGCCGACTTTAAAAGCAAAGTGGAAGCTGACCACTTCCCCATACAAAGCGCCAGAGCTGTTCGGAGCGGCGCTAGAACCCCTACTGGTCGAGGGGAAAGACAAGAGGAAGATCCTCCCCTCCGACATACCGGCGCCAGGAGCGCAGATACACACCTTACCCGCTCCAGCACCCTTTCGCGCCAGCGCCGGACCCAGGGGGTCCTTCTCCTCATCGCTCCCCAATACCAGGGAGGAGACAGATTTCACGACAGGCAGCAGTTCCGAGACCGAGGACGACAACAGCAGCCTAAGCGCAACTTCCGTGGAGCCGGCCCTAAGCCCGCCAGAAGGGGAAATGACTCCGGGCCCACGGGACCCATAGGGGGAAGGCTCATCCTCTTCCATCCACAATGGGCCAGATCGACGTCGGACTCCTGGGTAAGGCGTACGATCTCTTCAGGATTATCCATCGAATTTGCCGGTCTGCCGCCCCACCCGGTTCGTCCGTTGCCCAACCCCTCGATCCTCGGAGCTTCAGGACTTAATGTCACAAGAGATTGCCCACCTCCTGGAGGTCGAAGCCATAGAACCGGTCCCCGCACAACCAGCGGGGCTCAGGTTTTCTACTCAACCCTCTTCCTGGTGCCCAAGAACTCGGGGTTGGAGGGCCATTCTCAATCTAAAGCGCCTGAACCTGTCCGTTCAATACCGCAGGTTCAAAATGCACTCCCTCAGGTCCATCTTAGCGGGGGAGACAGGGCGACTTCCTTCAGTCGGTCGATCTCAAGGAGGCCTACCTCCATGTGCCCATTCACCCGCATCACCGTCGGTACCTGAGGTTCGAGTATGCGGGTCGGCATTACCAATATCGTGCGATGCCATTCGGACTCTCGTCGGCCCCGCGCACCTTTACCAAGCTGGTAGCGGTGGTGGCGGCCAGGCTCCGAGCCGTCCCGATCCGGGTTCTCTGTTACCTGGACGACATTCTTGTCCTGTCGTCCACGCCCGACCAGGCCTCCAGAGACATGAAGATGGTGATGAAGATCTTCCAGGATCACGGTTTCACCATAAACTTTGCAAAGAGTCAACTTCAGGCCCACCACCAGACTTCTCCACCTAGGGGCGGTGATAGATTCGTCCAGCGGCCCAAGTGTTCCTGTCACCGGACAGAGTCCAGAGCATCCGAACTCTGATCCTGCAGACCCTGTCGGGGAGGAGAGCTGCACTGTGCCACCTCTCAAGCCTCCTGGGCAAGATGGTATCCTGCTTCGGCATCGTACCGTGGGCACGCAGACATTCGAGACCCTTGCAGTGGTTCCTCCTTCCCTTCCAGCGAGCGGGAAGGGCCAACTCCAAGAGGGAAGTTCGTCTCACTCCCCAAGTCCGCCGTTCTCTCAGGTGGTGGACATCCCCATCACTCCTCAAGGGGTCCAGCTTCCTAGAGCCGGACCGCCTAATTCTTACCACCGACGCCAGCCTTCGGGGGTGGGGAGCCCATCTCCACAACTTAGTCACGCAGGGTCAGTGGTCGCCTCAGGAACGGCTATGCAGCATCAATCTCCTAGAGCTGCGGGCGATCAAGCTGGCTCTACGCAGCTTCCAGCCGACGGTGCAGAGGCATCACATCCTAATCCTGACCGACAACATCTCGGCCAAAGCGCACATCAACAGGGAGGGGGGCACAAGGTCTCGTACCCTGATGCGGAGGCCGCAGAGCTGTTCAGCTGGCAGAGAGACACCTACTCTCGATCAGAGCAGATCACATTTCGGGCGCAACCAATGTGAGGGCGGACTGGCTCAGCCGCGAAACAATAGATCAAGCGGAATGGCAGCTCCACCCTCAGTTGTTCCAAGAACTCGCCTCGCGCTTCGGAAACCCGGCAGTAGATCTCTTCGCGACCCCAGCCAACGCCCAACTTCCCCGCTTCATTTCTCGCTATCCGACACCACAGGTGGAGGACCACAATGCGCTACGCTGCAGGTGGCCCAGGGGTCTCCTGTACGCATTTCCACCAGTCCCGCTACTTCCCAGGCCTCATCCGAAAGCTACTGGCAGAAAAAGCAGACCTACTCCTGGTAGCCCCGAACTGCCCCGGAGACCATGGTTCGCCGACCTGGTGGCACTGTCCGTGGAACAACCATGGGTGATCCCACCACAACAGCTCGTCCTGTGCCAGGGAGCAGTCACGCATCCAGAGCCTCAGTGGCTGCAATTAGCCGTCTGGCATTTGAACGGGTCATCCTGAAGAAGGATAACTGCCAGACGAGGTAGTTGCCACTATCCAGGCGCCAGGCCCGCCCCCGTCTAACAACACGCATCTACGAGTCATCATGGCAGGCGTTCTGTCGCTGGAGTGCCAGCCAGCACATTGACCCCCACGTCAGCTACTACTCGGGACATTCTGCGGTTCCTACAAGCTGGTCTAGAAAGAGGCCTGGCCCCTGCAACCCTACGTAGACAGACTGCGGCGTTGTCAACAGTCATCACATGCCCGCCGTACCAATCCCTCGCGCACCATCCACGCATCAAGGAGTTTCTGCATGGGCCAACCAACCTACGACCCCCCACAGTGCACCCGCTACCCTTCATGGGATTTGCCTCTTGTGTTGCGGGCGCTGACCGAGGCCCTTTTGAGCCCCTAGACTCATGCTCGCTGAGGTACCTATCCTTTAAAGGTGACCTTCCTTCTGGCGATCACCTCGGCGAGAAGGGTCTCAGAACTAGCAGCTCTTTCAGTCCGCAAGGACTTATGTATCTTCCACGACTCAACCGTGACGCTACGTCTGGATCCCGCCTTTATCCCAAAGGTTAACTCGTGGTTCCACCGGGCCCAGGAGCTCATCCTGCCAGATTTCTGCCCTTCTCCTCGCGACCCCAGAGAAGAGAGGTGGCACACGCTAGACGTCCGACGCGCCGTCCGCATTTACATTCAACGGACCGCTCCCTTCCGTCGTACAGAGGGTCTCCTGGTCTCATTCAACCCGAAGTCCTTGGGTCAGAAGATATCAACAGCCACGGTCAGCAGATGGATCAAGGCCTGCATCGCCTTGGCATATGACCTGTCCTCCAAACCGGGTCCCGGCAAGATCCTACCGCACTCGACTCGCAGCGCGGCCACCACGGCGGCTTGGGCCACTCAAGCCTCGGTCGTGGACATCTGCAGAGCTGCGACGTGGTGTGTCACTCCTCACTCACACCGTTCATCCGACACTACAAGATCGATGTGTTCAACTCGGCTGAGGCATCGTTTGGCCGCAGAGTACTGCAGAAGGTGTTGACGGAGGACTCTGGAGGCAGTCAGCTTCCCACCCAGGGAGTTTAAGCTTGGGTATATCCCATGCATGGATAGTGGGAGCAGCGCACAGGAAAATGGACGTTGTCTTACCTGAACGTCCCTTTTCTGGGCGCTGCGTACACTATCCATATCCCACCCGTTAAGGCTGACTGCCCCTGCTTATGATTGAGACTAGTTCTCTTTTTCCATTACGTTAATTTGAGTTAATAAAGTTGAGTTTTTAAGTTACTCATAGTGTGGTTTCTTGTCTGCTGCGCCCTCGTTCAGACTGGGGAATCATGGGAACAGAGGCGTGGCTTGGGAGCCGGAAAGGGGAGGAAAAGTCTTTTGTTTTCACTCAGTTGTTTGCCAAGCACTGAAGGATTAACCCCATGCATGGATAGTGTACGCAGCGCCCAGAAAAGGGAGGGACGTTCAGTAAGACAACGTCCATTCTCAGCATTCTCTATTATTCTATCCTATCCCAGTAATTCTCAGCATTCTCTATTATTCTACTCTATCCCAGTAATTCTCAGCATTCGCTATTATTCTATCCTATCCCAGTAATTCTCAGCATTCTCTATTATTCTACTCTATCCCAGTAATTCTCAGCATTCTCTAGTATTCTATCCTATCCCAGTAATTCTCAGTATGTTCTATTATTCTACTCTATCCCAGTAATCTCAGCATTCCCTATTATTCTTCTCTATCCCAGTAATTCTCAGCATTCTCTATTATTCTACTCTATCCCAGTAATTCTCAGCATTCTCTATTATTCTACTCTATCCCAGTAATTCTCAGCATTCTATTATTCTATTCTATCCCAGTAATTCTCAGCATTCTCTATTATTCTATCCTATCCCAGTAATTCTCAGAATTCTCTATTATTCTACTCTATCCCAGTAATTCTCAGCATTCTCTATTATTCTATCCTATCCCAGTAATTCTCAGCATTCTCTATTATTCTACTCTATCCCAGTAATTCTCAGCATTCTCTATTATTCTACTCTATCCCAGTAATTCTCAGCATTCTCTATTATTCTACTCTATCCCAGTAATTCTCAGTATTCTCTATTATTCTATTCTATCCCAGTAATTCTCAGTATTCTTTATTATTCTACTCTATCCCAGTAATTCTCAGCATTCTCTATTATTCTACTCTATCCCAGTAATTCTCAGTATTCTCTATTATTCTATCCTATCCCAGTAATTCTCAGCATTCTCTATTATTCTACTCTATCCCAGTAATTCTCAGCATTCTTTATTCTACTCTATCCCAGTAATTCTCAGCATTCTCTATTATTCTACTCTATCCCAGTAATTCTCAGTATTTTCTATTATTCTACTCTATCCCAGTAATTCTCAGTATTCTCTATTATTCTATCCTATCCCCAGTAATTCTCAGCATTCTCTATTATTCTACTCTATCCCAGTAATTCTCAGCATTCTCTATTATTCTACTCTATCCCAGTAATTCTCAGCATTCTCTATTATTCTTCTCTATCCCAGTAATTCTCACCATTCTCTATTATTCTATTCTATCCCAGTAATTCTCAGCATTCTCTATTATTCTACTCTATCCCAGTAATTCTCAGCATTCTCTATTATTCTACTCTATCCCAGTAATTCTCAGCATTCTTTATTATTCTATTCTATCCCAGTAATTCTCAGCATTCTTTATTATTCTATTCTATCCCAGTAATTCTCAGCATTCTCTATTATTCTTCTCTATCCCAGTAATTCTCAGTATTCTCTATTATTCTATCCTATCCCAGTAATTCTCAGCATTCTCTATTATTCTACTCTATCCCAGTAATTCTCAGTATTTTCTATTATTCTACTCTATCCCAGTAATTCTCAGTATTCTCTATTATTCTATCCTATCCCAGTAATTCTCAGCATTCACTATTATTCTATTCTATCCCAGTAATTCTCAGCATTCTTTATTCTACTCTATCCCAGTAATTCTCAGCATTCTCTATTATTCTACTCTATCCCAGTAATTCTCAGTATTCTCTATTATTCTATTCTATCCCAGTAATTCTCACCATTCTCTATTATTCTATTCTATCCCAGTAATTCTCACCATTCTCTATTATTCTATCCTATCCCAGTAATGCTTCTGGGCTTAAGACCCACCAGATACAGGGGGCTGCTCACAATGGCACTTGCGGCGCCAGCCAAAGCTCCTGCCAGGGTGGCCCGCAACGGGCTGAGCCGTCCGTCCCGGTTATGGATGTAGCCTTCCGATTCCGCCAACCCGTAGGTGCCCAAGCGGATGCCGTTAAAGCCAAACTGATAGAACAAGGCAGGTGAAAGTCCTCGCTGGAGAGCCGCCAGCCCGTCCACCCGTGCGATGGTGTAGAAGGCGTGGAAGACGTTACGGTAATGGCGGGTGTAGTGCCAGGCGCCCGGAGTTCCCCCTGGAGCTGCATCCGCGTCTTCACCACTTCCAGGGGGTTGGTAAAGAGGCAGGCCCCACAGGCAGCCACCCCGCTGAGAATGAAGTCCATTACGGGTGTGGTGGTGGGGTGTTTGGTCAAGGGAGCTGCAAGAGAAAAGAGAGAAACCAGAGAGGTAGAGTATAACCCAGGAGGGGAAGCCCCAGAAAGGTGAAGGCCAAGTTGAAGGCCAGGTTATCTTCGAGACCACCTTCTGCCGCATAGCGCCCATCGACCGTAAGATCCCACAGAGTTGGTCTCCTCCAGGTCCCGTCAGCTAAACAATGCCGGCTGGCGGGCCCGCGGGGGAGGGCCTTCTCTGTGGCTGCCCCAGCTCTCTGGAACCAGTTACCTCCTGAGATCCGGACCATCCCCACCCTATTGGCCTTCCGAAAAGCGGTGAAGACCTGGTTTTTCCAGCAGGCCTGGGCCATTGATCTCGCTCTTGTGATCTGGCGAGATCCGGCGGTGAATGGCGTGAATGAGTTTTTAATGTTTTTAATGTTTCAATGTTTTTTTTATAATGATTTTTTGGAATGTATTGTGAGCCGCCCTGAGTCTTCGGAGAGGGATATAAATTGAATTAATTAAATTAAATTAAATTAAATAATTAAATTAAATTAAATAAATTAAATAATTAAATTAAATTATTAAATTAAATAAAAAAATTTAAATTAAATTAAATTAATTAATTAAATTAAATTAAATTAAATTAAATTAAATTATTAAATTAAATTAAATTTAATTAATTAAATTAAATAAATAAATAAATAAATTAAATTAAATTAAATTAATTAAATTAAATTAATTAAATTAAATTCAATTAATTAAATTAAATTAAATTATTAAATTAAATTAAATATTAAATTAAATTAAATTAAATTAAATTTTAAATTAAATTAAATTAAATTAAATTAAATTAAATTAAATTAAATTAAATTATGATCTAAGGAGGCACGGAAGGAGGACCTACCTACCCCAGGTTCTCGGTTAAGGCCAGGAGAAGCACTTCTGCGAAGGATGGAAAGTCCAAGAAGAAGGCAGGCAGAAGGTCAAGCGGAAGGAAGAAGGGAGAAGAAAGGGCAACTAGAACAGAGGAGATCGCTCCATCTCCATCATCATCATCATCATCATCCTCATCATCCAGAAGACCAGAAGAAGGATGAAGGTGAGGAAGAAAGCGGTGCTGTTACCATCAAGGTTCCCTGGGGTGGATCCCTTTCCCTCCCACCACCACCACCAGGGAGAGGAGGATGAGGAGGGATCCAAAGAAACCCAGGTTATGGCAAAAGCTGGCCAGAAGAAAACCAAGGTTGGTGGTGGAGAAGAAGACCTCCTTCCGCAGCAAAGGAAACGGGCACAGTTAAAACCCTCAAGGAAGGTTATGGAAGAAGCGCTCCCGGGGCAAGGCAGGCTGGGAAATCCGGGGATCGGGGGATCTTGGAAGGAAAAGCCTGCTGCCGGTGATCGCGGGGGGACGATCCAGACGATCCCGGCTTCTCCAGGCGCCTGGCCAAGGGCGCAAAAGGCGAGGAGGAGGAGGGGGGAGGAGGAGGAGGCTGCGCACACCCGCCCCACGCCCCGCGCGCGCCGGGACCGACCGGCAACCGCTTGTCTTGTTGTGTGCGCGCCGCCGAGGCCACGCCCTCAACCGGCAAGGGGGAGGGGCTGGCCAACGGCTCCTCCCCCAACCCCCCCCCCCCACGCCGCTTCCCACCGCGTCAGGCCCCCACGCGCGCGCCGTGGAGGGTTGTTGTTGGTTTTTTTTTTGTTTTTTTTTTGCGCAACCGCCTGCGGGGTAACCGGCGTGGCTGGCTGGCTTCCCGGTTGGACAGGGGAGAGAGGGTGTGAGGGAAGACAGGCGGAGGTTCTGGGGACGGTGGGCGGATGGAGCCCGAGAGGCTTGTGAGGGGGGAGGGGGGGAGGGGGGAGGGAGACCGTTACGCACCGGCTGGCACGGCAGAGCGGCTTGAACCGGCTCAAAGGAAGAAAAGAAAAGAAAAGAAAAGAAAAGAAAACTCCGGGTTGCGCCGGGGCCCGACGCGTTTAGCGATGACTCGCGTTAATCCGAGGTGGTTCAAAATACTCTTAGGGCTCGAAGTGGGTCGGGCGGTTTAGCCTCGGGCTCTCGCGTTCTCTCTCTCCCTCCCTCTTTCCTCACCTTCCTCCTTCCCTCCTTCCCTTCTCCTCCCCCTCCTTGCCCCCTGCCTCTCCCCCTCCCCCTTCCTTCCCTCTCCCTCCCTCCTCCTTACTTTCCTCTCCCTTTCCTCCCTCTCCCCCTCCCTCTCCCCTGCTCCTCCCCCTCCTCCTCTCCCCTCCTCCTTCTTTCCCTCTTTCCTCCCACTTCCTCCCGTTTCCCTCACCTATCCTCCCCTCCCTCCTCCCTCCCCCTTGTTTCCTTCTTCCCGCCCTCTCTTTTCTCCCTCTCCCTCCCTCCTTGCCTCCTGCCCCTCTCCCTCTCCCCCCTTCCTTCCCTCCCCCTTTCCTCTTTCCCTCCTCTCCCTCCTTCCCTCCTTCTCTCCCCCTTCCTTCCCTTTCCCTTTCCTTCCTCGTACCCTCCCCTCCCCTCCCTCCCCTCTCCTCCTCCTTCTCTCCCCCTCCCCTTCCTCCTCCCTCTTTCCTCCTCTCTTACACCCCCTCCCCTCTCCCTCCCTCCCCCCTCATTCCCTCCCTCTGTTCCTTTCCCTTCTTCCCTCCCTCTTTTCTCCCTCTCCCTCCCTCCTTGCCTCCTGCCCTCTCCCTCCCCCTACCTCCTCTCCCTTTCCTTTCCCCCTCCCTCCTCTCTCCCCTCCTTCCCTCCCTCCCTCCCCCTATCTTCCCTCCCTCCTCTTTTCTCCTTGCCTTCTGCCTTCTGCCCTCTCCTCCCTCTCCCTCCACCTTTCCTCCCTCCTTCCCCCTCCCTCTCTCCCTCCCCTTCTTTCCCTCCCTCCTTTTCTCCCTCTCCCTCTCCCTCCCTCCTTTGCCTCCTGCCCTCTCCCCCTTCCTTCCCTCTCCCTTCCTCTCCCTCCCCCCTCCCCCACCTTCCCTCCCTCCCCCTCCCCCTCCCTCTCTCTATCTCTCTGGGTTTAAGAAGAGACTAGAAGAGTCACTTATCTGAAATGGTAGAGGTTCTCCCTGCTTGAGGGGGAGGGCTGGACTAGAAGACCTTCAGTAATCACAGTAACAGAGTTGGAAGGGACCTTGGAGGTCATCTAGTCCAACCCCCTGCTCAGGCAGGAGACCTGTACTAGGGATTGGAACCACCGAACTGCCAATCTTTCTGATCAACAAGCACAGTGTCTTAGCCATTGAGCCACCGTCTGGTGGGAATGCATGCAGTGTGGTTTGGCTGAGCGGGCGCGTCACTCGGCTTTCCGGACAATGGGCATCTGACCAGAGTTGAGAAGGGGGGTAGAAGTAATCCTCGATTTACAACCACAATCGAGCCCAGAATTTACGTTGCTAAAAGGAGAAATGGGTGAAGTGAATTTTGTCCCGTTTTACGGCTTGTCTTGCCATGTTTCTTAAGCGAATCGCAAGTTAGTAACTCGGTTGTTAAGCGAATCGGGCTTCCCCGTTGACTTTGTTTGTCAGAAGGTCGCTAAAGATGGGTCACGACGCTACAATCGTCGATACGAACCAGTTGTCTCAAGCATCTGACTGTAAATCACACAACCATGGGGAATGCTGCAACGGTCGTTAAGTGTGAACAATGGTCACAAGTCACTTTTTTCAGGACCATTGTAACTTCAAACGGTCACTAAATGAACTGTGGATTACCTGTATTCTCCCCCAGGGTTATTAACCCACTAGCAAACCACCAGGGGGTTTTTGCAAACAAGCCATGGTTTAACTTTTATCAGAGCTAGTCTTTTTTAATCACTATCCTTTTGCTTGGTAAGCCATGGTTAGAATCAGCAGTTGGCCAACGCCTGCTTTGACGCTTGTCACAAGAAACTAAAGAGGCTGACCACAAACCCTCCACTTATAGGAAGCGTTGACGCAACTGTGGATGCGTAACTGCAAAAAAAGAATTTTGCAAGGCCACCTATTACAGGTGGAAAAATAATGTAGCATTTTGCGTGCAAACAGGTCCCAGCAAAAATCCGGAGGTAAAAAAGTTAAAGTCCTGAGGTAAAAAGTTTGTTAAAAACACAAACCTATGCAATTTCGCTTAGTAAATGCATCCCCCACGCTTATTATGAGATAAATTGTCTGTTTGATAGTGGGAACAAGCGATGAAATATCAGGACATTCTCACGTATATATGTAGTTTATGGTATACAGGTACTATAGTTCTCAACTTACAACCGTTTGTTTAGTGACTGTTCAAAGTTACAATGGCACTGGGAGGAAAAAAATGACTTGTGAGCATTTTTTACTTATGATCGTTGCAGCCTCCTCATGGACACATGATCAAAATCCAGATGCTTGGCAGCTGTCTCATATTTATGACGGTTGCAGTGTCCCGGGGGTCATGTGATCATCGCCTTTTGTGACCTGACAAGCAAGTCAATGGAGAGGCCAGATTCATCTAAGAATCGTGTTACTAAGTTAACGTCTGCAACGATTCCTTTCTCAACGGTGGCAAGGAAGGTCGTAAAACGAGTCAAAATTCCCGTAACCATCTTGCTTAACCACAAGAAATTTGGGTCTCAGTATATCCGCAGGCCTGTTTTGATTTGGACTCGGCTCCGAAACGTATCTCAATTCTGAAATGTTTTTGAATGCCTCAATTCGGCACAGAAATCAGACTAACAAAGAGTTGGAAAGGACCTTGTAGACCTACTACAAGGTCCTTTCTACTCCAGCCCCCTGCCCAAGCAGACCACTACACCATTTCTGACAGATGGCAGTCCAATCTCTTCTTGAAAGCCTCCAGTGATGAAGCTCCCACAACTTCCGAAGGCAACTTCTGTTCCATGGGTTGATTGTTCTCACTGTCAGAAAATTTCTCCTTATTTCCCATTTGAATCTCTCCTTGGAAACTCTCCTCTCAGTTTCCATCCATTATTCCTTGTCTGGCCTTCAGGTGCCTTGGAAAATAGGTTGACCCCCTTCCTCTCTGTAGCAGCCCCTCAAGTATTGGAAGACTGCTATCATGTCTCCCCTGGTCCTTCTCTTCACTAGACTAGCCATGCCCAGTTCCTGTAACCGTTCATCTTATGTTTTAGCCTCCAGTCCCCTAATCGTCCCGGTTCTCTGCACTTTTTCTAGAGTCTCAACATCATTTTTATAGTGTGGTGACGAAAATTGGATGCTGTATTCTAAGTGTGGTCTTACTAAGGCTTTATAGAGTGGTATTAGTACCTGCCTTGATCTTGATTGTATCCCTGTTAATGCAGTTTAGGATTGCGTTGGCTTTTTTGGCTGCCGCTGCACACTGCTAGCTCATATTTAGCTGGTTGTCCACGAAGACTCCAAGTTCCCTCTCACAGTTACTGCTATTAAACCTGGTTTCACCCAATCTATATGTATACTCTGGGTTTTTCTTGCCCAAGTGTAAGACTTTACTATTCTCTACATTGAATTTCATTTTGTTAGAGAGGGCCCAGTGTTCAAGTCTGTCAAGATCCATCTGGATCTTGAGCCTATCATCTAGGGCGTTGGCTATTCCTGCCAGCTTAGTATCATCTGCAAATTTGGTAAGTTCCCCTTCTATTCCCTCATCTAAGTCGTTTATGAAGATATTGAAATCAATTATTGAATCCTGATTTCTTCTCCCTGGGTGATTATTGGCTTGAATGGGGCACCTGGCAAAATGAATAAGGTGTTGTGGTCCGCCAGCAGCCTGTGAGCTAGCAGCAGAGTCGGACAGTGAGGAGGCTGGGGAGGACCATGGGCCAGTCCTGGAGCCTGGGGAAGGCCCAGACGAGGGCTCTGCATCAGAGTCAGAGATGGGCCAGGGCCATCTGAGAGTGATGCACACTCTGGAGCCCCCAGTCGGACAGCAGAGGCAGAGGAACAGGAGGAGCCTGTTCCTAGTGCACACATGCGCAGAGCTGCCAGAAGGCAAGAGCAGCTAAAGCAAAAGGGACAACTCGGGAGTAAAGCCAGGAGATGATTGGCCCCTTCCATAAGGCTTAGAAGAGAAACAAAGGCACTTGGGGCCTTTTGCAAGAAAGCAATGTTGCCAACTTTGTTTCCAGTTGGCATCTCTTGTTTGTTTGAATTTTGTGGGGCTTTGCCAAGTAAGGCCTTTGACAGGGTATCAAAGAAGATAAAGGTTGGCGATTATCCCGAAGGACTTCTTCCAAAGGACTTGTTTCGCAACTAATTGGGACTTCCGCTGGGAATGAAAGTAATTCTCAGCTGTTACAATAAAAGGGTTTTTTTTGGGACTAATTGTGTCTTGTAATGACTCAGTAAGCCTAGGTCACAACATACCGTGCTGGGCCAGGCCGAAGGTGCAATAGGACTCCTATTTCATTACGTTTGCATTATGTCCCTTTCAGCATTTCCTGTGGTAGATAAAGCCGTTTGCGTTCAAAATAAAAAACAAATTGGGAATGAAAAGAACATGCTTGGCGGAAATAGTTATTTGTGTACGAAACGGCAGGTGGATATCTGGGTTGACATATTGCCAGAAAATTACTGTGGGTATCACAGCTT